AGTAGTAGTAGTAGTAGTAGTAGTAGTAGTAGTAGTAGTAGTAGTAGTAGTAGTAGTAGTAGTAGTAGTAGTAGTAGTAGTAGTAGTAGTAGTAGTAGTAGTAGTAGTAGTAGTAGTAGTAGTAGTAGTAGTAGTAGTAGTAGTAGTAGTAGTAGTAGTAGTAGTAGTAGTAGTAGTAGTAGTAGTAGTAGTAGTAGTAGTAGTAGTAGTAGTAGTAGTAGTAGTAGTAGTAGTAGTAGTAGTAGTAATAGTAGTAGTAGTAGTAGTAGTAGTAGTAGTAGTAGTAGTAGTAGTAGTAGTAGTAGTAGTAGTAGTAGTAGTAGTAGTAGTAGTAGTAGTAGTAGTAGTAGTAGTAGCAGTAGTAGTAGTAGTAGGAGTAGGACGCGGTGGGCCTTCCTCCCTTCGCTTCTTCCAGGGTCGCCCGTTGTGACCTTCCCCAGCCGGGCTCGTTTCACTTGCGTCGTCCAGGGCCTGCCAGAAACCAGGCGCGGCGATCCGCTCTCCATCCGATTCGGAACCATTCGTTTGCGATCCGATTCGTTTCCGACCCGATCCGATGTCGCGATCCGATCCAGCTTGCGCTTGCTTCCCGGGCTGAATCCCGGTTTTATTTGCCTTGATCCGGGGATTGAATCCGGCTTAATCCCGGGCTTTATTCGGCTCAATGACTCCTTGATCGGCCTTCGGAATGCCCTTAGTCGTTCTGGCGCAGGCCTCCCAGAAGGTACTTCCTAATCTTTGGCCTCCCTGCCTGCGACAGCTTGCGAACCCTACCCATGCGGGTCCAATCGGCGCAGGAGTATCGGACATCCCTGGTGGGGTTCACGTGACTGCAGACGTCCTTCAAACTCAGTGCCCCGGTCGGTCTTCCAGAATTTTGCCCTGCAGGGGACGGGCTCGCGTGCGCTTGCGCATCCCTCCGCACATCCGCCCCTGGCTTGAGGTGCTGGTCCGGTTGAGTCCGGGCTTGAGCTCGGACGGATCCCGAAGTCAATCCGATATCGGTGGCCCCTCCGCCGGGCTCATCGGTGCCCTCCGCTGTTCTGACGAAGCCCTCTGCGCCTCCGCCCCCTCGGGCCTTCGCGCCCTCGCCCCCCCCTCCGCACCCAGAGTTCCCACATTGTCCGCCCAGGCCGGGTGGGCCAACTGGGAGCCGGCGGTAAACCGTCAACCAGGTTACGGTAGGTTCGTGTCGTGTCGACCAGCGGCGACCCCAGCGCGGGCGTTCAAGGTTGAACGCCGCCGGCGACCCAGAATCGATCGATGTTGAACGATCGGACGTTGCGGCAGCGGCCGATCGTTCAAGGTCGAATGATCCCTGCGGTGTCAAAAACCAACGCTGGGGTCGGCACGACACGAACCTGCCGTACCGCCGGAAGCCTCGTAGAGATCTTGACAGGCAAGTCAACGGTCATATTGCGAGGAGGCAGCCTTTAAAAACATCCGCTTGACAACTCGCCGCAAGATGTATGTTTTATGGTTTTTTTTTGCGGCGTCGGCTGCTCCAAGTGCTTCCCCCCCCCCCCTCCGCACCTTCGCCCTCCCTCCGCCCTCTGCGTGCCTCCTCGCCGCCCGCGGCCCCCCGCCCGTGCCAGGCGCCATCGGCGGCGCGTCGGCGGGCGGCGCGCTCTCGTCCGGCGGCTCGTCCTTCCTGGGCTCCTCGGCCGCAGGCTTCGCCCCCCCCGTCGGGGCGGGGGGGCATCGGAGGCGGCAAAGAGGAGGAGGAGGAGGAGCAGGAGGAGGAGGAGGAGGAGGAGGAGGCGGAGGAGGAGGCGGAGGAGGAGGAGGAGGCGGAGGAGGAGGCGGAGGAGGAGGAGGAGGAGGAGGCGGAGGAGGAGGAGGAGGAGGAGGAGGAGGAGGAGGCAAAGAGTCGCAGGCCTAGAGATTGACACCAACACCAACATCGGCGGTGTGCATCTGCCGAAGGAAGAGGATCCCGATCTCGGTGGTGGTGGTGATATTCTGGCTTCCGAGGTGGCCGAAAGATTGCCACCAGCACCGAAATCTAGGATCATCTTCCCCATGCGGAGGCAACCCCCTGTGCTGGTGTTGGTGCCCATTTCTAGGCCTCCAAAAGAGGGGGGTGATGACTGGGTGTGTGTGGATATCATGGCATAAGGCATGATCTTTCCCCAGATTTCATGGCGCCTCTTCTCATCTCACCGCGTCCCTGGCTCCCCCCCCCTGGGCCGCGCACGTGCCGCCGGCCACGAACTGCGCCCCGCCCCTCTCTTGGGCGCTCCCCCCGCTTGGCCGCCCCCGAGGGGCGGAGGGGGGGGGGAGCGACTGAGGGTGCGGTGGAGGCGGACGGAGCCTGCGGGGGGTCGGAGGTCAGCACCTGGCTCCCGCCAGCGGGAGGGGGCGGGGCGAGGCGCGAGGTCGCTTGCCCTGCTCGGTCTGCGGGCCCCGTCCGCGGGCCTCCCAGGGAGCGTCGGCAACGACGGATCCGGGGCGAGAAGCCACACCGCGTGAGCCCGGGGAGGGGCGGGGGGATCGATTTTGGAGGGGACTTGCTTCTGTCCCCCCCCTTTGACGAACTCTCTCGGGGCCCATCGGGCTCAGACCCGTCGGCCGCCTCCAAGGATCTGGGCCCCCCAGATGGGGTCCGAGCAGATGGGGTCGGGCGATTGCGCCGCATCGACGATGCATCGGCGATGCGGCCCGATGCGGTGCCCACTTTTCGCCACGCCGGCGTCGCCGCCGTACCGCCGACGTCGCCGATGCATCGTCCGTGCATCGCCGATGCATCGCCGATACAGTCGGGGCCCTGAAGAAGGAACCCTTTTGGTTGGGGAGGGGCTCCGCGTTCCTTAAGTGTTTCGCAGCTTGCCTCAGGTTTTCCTTATGTCTCCGATAGGACATCGAAGTTTAACTTATGGAAAAAAGGGGCCTCGTTCCTTGTTTAGGGTTCCTTAGGTCAACGCCCCGACTGTACATCGTCGATATATTGGCGGAGGTGCTGCGCCACGCCGCCCAAGCGACGCCAGCAGCGCTGGGCGGTGTGCGGCTGCGGGCGCCGGCCGGTGCCGCGGGCGCCCAGGCAGCGGGCGGCGCAGCGAGGCGGTCAGCGGGTGAGCGGCGCAGAGCGAGAGGAGCGCGGGCCCTGCGCGGAGGGGCAGGTTTTGAGGGAAGTCGGGAGCTTTGAGACGGGGCTCAATGCAGACGGGGGTCAGCCAGAGCGCCGGATCCTGCAGGATCCTGCGAAGACCCCCTCTGGCTGACCCGGGTTAGCGAGCCGCTCGTGGCCGCGAGGCGGCCGCGCCTATTGGCTGACCCGGGTTTGCGAAGACCTGCGTTGCAGTTTTTTTTTATTGCATTGCAGTTTTTGGTTTCCTGCTGACCCGGGTCTGGATTGACCCGGGTCAGAAGATCCCCGATGAAGGGTCGTGGCGACAGCATCGCAGAGCGGATTTCGGTCGGACAACGATCGGGTGGGCCCGGGCTGTGCTGGAGAGTTTCGTTCTGGATTTCGCGGTGGGCTTCGTGCGGGTACTTTTTTGGTTGGCCCGGCATGAAGACCGAAAAAATCCGCGCGACATTCGCTTCGTTTTTCACTCGCCGTTTCGGGGTTTTGCTCTGATCCGCTGCAGCACGCCTGCAGGGTCGGCGCGCAGAGATCCGCTGCAGCACGCCTGCAGGGTCGGCGCAGTGAGAAGGAGGGGGAATGGACGGGCGGGGTGGGGGAGGACGGGGATGATGTTGATGATGATGATGATGATGATGATGATGATGATGATTGATGATGATGATGATGATGATGATGATGATGATGAGAGGAGGAGGAGGAGGAGGAGGAGGAGGAGGAGGAGAGGAGGAGGAGGAGGAGGAGGAGGAGGAGGAGGAGGAGGAGGAGAGGGAGAACGGAGCATGGCAGACTCAAGTGTCGCACTGTCGCACGGGAGGAGTGTCGCACGGCCAGGGCCACGCGGCGGCTCCCCGCGTCCGTCCGCGCACATGCCTCGGGCCAGGTGCCAAACGTAGGAACGAATGCTGCCCTCCGCCATTCCTCCTCCTCCTCCTCCTCCTCCTCCTCCTCCTCTTGCTCCTCCTCCTCCTCCTCTTGCTCCTCCTCCTCCTCCTCCTCCTCCTCCTCCTCCTCGCCGTGGTGCTGGAGACCGCGACGAAGGAGGAGAAGGGGCTGGCGCCCAGTGCTGGGTGCCTGAGGTGTGGCGCCAGGGGCACGCTGATGCACAGGCACTTCGACTGCCCGTGCTGGAGTGAGGTGCTGACCGTCCCAGAGGACTTGGCAGGTCTCCGAAGGCAGAGCGGGAGGCCTGAGGTGCAGCTGCTGCTGGAGAGGTGCCTGTGGCCGACACCACGGGGCATCCGCCGCCCGCCAGTGTGCAGCGACGTGTGCTGGAAGGGCGACCATGAAGGAGGCACCCTTCCTGAAGGCGAGCTGTTTCTCGACGGCTCGGCGTTCGAGGCGGACTACGAGGAGGTGGCGGCAGTTGGCTGGAGTGTGGTGGCGCTGCAGGCGCACAGCGACGGCTACAAGGCCTCCATCGCTGGCCAGATGGAGGGCCACTGCGTGGACATCAACGGCGGGGAGCTCACGGCGGTGATCATGGCGCTCAGGTTTGGCCAAGGGATCACGGTGCTGGTGGTCGACTCCAAGTACGTGTACGACGGCTTCTACAAGGTCGGCAGGGTAGGCACCACGGGCTACGCGTACACGTGGGCGCACCTGTGGAGGCGAGCTTGGGACCTGCTGGACGAGCGAGGAGGTCTCGGGCAAGAGGTCAGCCTCAGGTGGATGCCCAGCCACAGTACGCGGCGGCAGGTGGCGGCAGGCGAGGTGCCGTACAGAGATTGGTACGGCAACCGACTGGCTGACAGGGCGGCAAAGGCTGCGGCGGCAAGCGGGCGCCTCCCCGCGAGGGACAGAGAGCGCCTGGAGAGGAGCCGTGACGTGGTTGAACGAGCAGCCATGTGGTGCGCGGCTGTCGGCAGCTGGGTCGACGGCAGCGACACCACGCACGGCAAGACGAAGGTGCGGCGAGCCCTGCCAGTGCGCAAGGAGCCAGCGGCGAGGATGGCCTGCGTCTGGCGGAGGCTGCCTGGCCAGCGTCCCTGGTGCGAGGTCTGCAGATGGTCAGGCAGATCAGGTGAGTGCCCTGGCAGCATCGTCGCCGAGGCGATCAGGGCCAACAACAGGCTGAAGGCGCAGCAGAGGGCGTCGCACGACCTGGTGCTCCTTGCGCCTGTGGATTGGAGGATGCTGGTGCGCAGGATGCCGCTGGTCGCTTGCAGGGCGTGCGGCTTCACAGGCGCGGCCAGAGCGAGCTCCTTCCACCTCGAGTGCAGGAGTGTCCCGTCGGCTGCAGGTGCCGCCGCAGTCGCGAGACTGAGGAAGGGGCTGGCTCCGAAGGTGGTCAGTGAGGTGGCAGTCAACATCACGGTGCTGGCGGACGACGTGCAGGAGGGGAGAGGGCAGTCGCCGCGGGACATCGCGGAAGAGGAGGACGGCCACTCCTGGAGGCCGCCAGGAGGAGCTCCAGGTGGTGGGGCAGGGGAGGATGCGGGCTCGCTGCGTCCCCTGACCCCTGAGGGCTCCAGAGCGGCGGCTGGCCTGAGAGGACGAGCTGAGGTCCCTGACGAGCCCAGTGAGCATGACGCGGATCTTTTGACCAACAGTGTGGTAGACAGGACCTCGCAACTAACAGAGCGGACCCATACCCTGGGAAACCGTCAGACTGAACGCGAGGGGGAGGGCTTGGCCCGCGGATACCACGTGAACCGCGAACACAGAGAGTGGCATAGGCGAGGGACCATGCCCGTGCCAGTGGGCAGCAGCATTGTGGATGCGGACAGTGCGAGACTCGGCGGTCCCCCGCGCGGTGAGGGGTTAGACCGCAGCAGGCCCCAGCGTGAGGCGGGCCCTGCAGAGGGAGGAGACGAGGTGGCCACAGGTGGCAGCGGCAGCGGGCCGCCCCGCCGATGATGGCGGACGACGCGCAGGAGGTGAGAGGCCAGTCGCCGCAGGACGTCGCGGGGGAGGAGGACGGCCACGCCTTGCGCAAGCCAGAAGGAGCTCCAGGTGGCGGCGAGGACGCGAGCTTGCTGCGCCCCCTGACCCACGGGGGCTACCGCGGTGCGGCTGGCCCGAGAGGGCGAGCTGACGGAGGGCGTGCAGCCGCGACGCGCCAGGAGGCCGCAAGAGGAGAGGCAGGGCCTGCAGGCGGCGGCGGCGGGCCAGGCCCGCGGCGCCGCGCGGGTGTGCGCAGCAGCTCGCCGTGGCAGGACGCTCCGACGCCGCCCTCGCTGGCGCTGAAGACGGCGGCCGAGGTAGCCAGGCGGCAGGAGGGCAGCCAGCGGCCTGAGACGGGCCCTGCCGAGAGAGGAGACGAGGTGGCTGCAGGTGGCAGCGGCGGCGGACCGCCCCAGCCACGCGTGGCCAGCGGAGTCCAGGTGCTGGCGGACGAAGCGGAGGACTACAGCGCAGCGGCTGGCCCGAGCGGGCGAGCTGGCGGCAGGCGTGCAGCCGCGGTGCACCACGCCGCGGCACGAGGAGACGCAGGGGCTGCGGGCGGCGGCGGAGGGCCAGGCGCGCGGCGCCGTGCGCGAGTGCGCAGCAGCTCACCGAGGCTGGCCGAGCTGACGCCGCCCTCGCAGTCGCCGAGGCGTGTGGCCAAGGTGGCCAAGCGGCAGGACGAGAGCCAGCGGCCTGTGGCGGGCCCTGCACAGGCAGGTGACGAGGTGGTTGCAGGTGGCAGTGGCGGCGGACCGTCCCAGCCGCGCGAGGCCACAGAGGTCAGGCCGCAGGAGGAGGTCCAGCCGCCCGCAGGGGAACCTGCTGCTCGATGCGAAGTAGGGGCTGCGGGCGGCGACCACGTGGCCATGGAGAGCGGGCTGCAGGAGGAGAGGATGCCGCCCGCAGGTGACTCTGCTGCTCGAAGCGAAGCAGGGGCTGCGGGCGGCGGAGGCGGCTGGCCGAGGCCGCGGCGCGGCGCGCGGGAGCGCAGCAGCTCGCCAGGCTTGGCAGCCAAGGTGGCGAGGCTGCTGCGGGCCGCGCGGGGTGAGGCCTCGCCGACAGCCTCGGGTGCGTAGCTGCGCCGAGGCGCGGGCGCGCGTGGGGCGCGCGCCTCGCAGGGGTGGCCGTGGCTCGACGCGGTCCGCCTCACCCCGCGGGCATCCTCCTCCTCCTCCTCCTCCTCCTCCTCCTCCTCCTCCTCCTCCTCCTCCTCCTCTTGCTCCTCCTCCTCCTCCTCCTCCTCCTCCTCCTCCTCCTCCTCCTCCTCCTCCTTCTCCTCCCGCCGGCTCTTCCACAACTGTTGCGCGGGTGCGGGTGCCAGGGGAGTAAGGAGGCGGAGGCCGAGGGAAAGGGGGGGGGATCGGAGACCTTGCCGGCCCCGCTGTTCCTGCCCATGTGCCTCGCCCCGATTTGGGAGGCCTGGGTGCCCAGATCTCCGACGTCGAGATTTTTCACCACGTCGACTCCTGGAGGTCTGAACCCCTTCCCCGGACCGGCTCTCCATCCCGGGTCGTATTTTGACGGTCCCGGGCCCCAGCGAGGGCCCGCGGTTGCCGACAACTACCGAAAGCCACCCGTTTTTTGTTTGTTTGTTGTTTGTTGTTTTGTTTTGTTTTGTTTTGGTTTGTTTTGTTTTGGTTTGTTTTGTTGTTGTTTTCTTTGAACCATCCCATGGTGTTGAGTCCTCGTTTTGAAGAGATAGCGCCCCGCGTCACTCCTCTTCTCCCCCTCCTCCCCCCTCCCTCCCTCTTCCTCCTCCTCCTCCTCCTCCTCCTCCTCCTCCTCCTCCTCCTCCACCTCCTCCTCCTCCTCCTCCTCCTCCTCCTCCTCCCCCTCCTCCTTCCTTCCTGCGTTTCACCCACCCAGTACAGCGCTTCGTGGCCCCATAGGGAGCTCCACCGAAGGCCACAGTGCCACCGCCCGCATGCGTCACCCACACCCACGTCGGCACACCCCTCACACGACGTTTCGTGGCCCCATAGGGAGCTCCACCGAAGGCGCCAGTGCCACCGCCCGCATGCGCCACCCACACCGTTTTTGGCACACCCCTCACACGCTTCCTGGCCCCATAGGGAGCTCCACCGAGGGCGCCAGTGCCACCGCCCGCATGCGTCACCCAGACCGATTTCGGTACACCTCTCACACGTTTCGTGGGCTCCGAAAGGCCACAGCGCCATCGCCCGCATGCGTCACCCAGACCGATTTCGGCACAGCGCCCACACGCTTCGTGGCCCAATAGGGAGCTCCACCGAAGGCGCCAGTGGCTGCGTTCGCATGCGCCCATCGCACCCACTTCGGCACGCCCATCACACGTTTCGCGGCCCCATAGGGAGCTCCACCGACGGCCCCATTGGCTGCGTTCGCATGCGTCCACCCCACCTATTTCGGCACACCTCTCACGCGTTTCGTGGCCCCATAGGGAACTCCTCCGACGGCCCAAGTGGCTGCTTTCGCATGCGCCCGCCGGCCAAATTTTGGCACACCCCTCACACGTTTCGTGGCCCTGTAGGGAGCTCCTTCAAAGTCCGGTGCGTACAGCGACGGTGCACCCAACTGCATATGGTTGAGGCCTTCGCCAGGCTAAGTTTTTTTTTTTTTTTTTTTTTTGTCCGCACCGCTCACCGACTCACCGCCGACGCTCGGGCTCGCTCCGCACGCCCGCCCCTTTTCCAACGGAGCATATGTTTTATCCGACCTGTTGCCCAGTTGCCACTCTGCCGGAGGAGGAGGAGGAGGAGGAGGAGGAAGAGGAGGAAAGGAGGAGGGGGAGGAGCCAGGCCGCTAAGGCTATGAGGTGGGGGGAGGCCATGCCGCAATGCCCCCCCCGAGGCTCCGTCACCTCCGCGGCCCCTCCCGCGCGGCGCGGCGGCTCGTCGGCGCTCGGCTCCATGACCATGATGTTCGAGAAGTTCAACGAGAAGGCCGGCCTGCCACGCCCGCCGCTCTGCACCTCTTGTTGTTGCTGTCGCTGCTGTCGCCGTTGTTGCCGTTGTTGCTGTTGTTGCTGTTGCTGTTGCTGCTGTTGCTGTTGCTGCTGCTGTTGCTGTTGCTGTTGCTGTTGTGGTTGTTGCTGTTGCTGCTGCTGCTGTTGTTGTTGTTGGTGCTGTTGTGGTCGTGGTCGTGGTTGTGGTTGTGGTTGTGGTTGTGGTTGTGGTGGTTGTTGTGTGGTTGTGGTTGTTGTTATTGTGGTTGTTGCTTTGTTGTTGTTGTTGTTGTTGTTGTTGTTGCTGTTGCTGTTGCTGTTGCTGCTGCTGCTGCTGTTGTTGTTGTTGTCGTCGTTGTTGTTGTTGTTGTTGTTGTTGTTGTTGTTGTTGTTGTTGTTGTTGTTGTTGTTGTTGTTGTTGTTGTTGTTGATGTCGTTGGCAAAGAGGGGGCTCTGGTACCCCCGAAGGAGTTGCGGTAAGGGGGGCGGTCGCAACCGTAACCGCGCAACGCTCGAGCGGGAGCGCTGGGGGGGGGGCCGCGCCCAACAGGGCGGAGGGAAACGCAACCAACGGCGCGATTGGGCGGGGGAGGGAGGGCGCAACATGGGGGAGGGGAAGGCGCATGTTACCCTACCCTTGGGGACTCACTGGGCGCGCTGCCTGCGAGCGCTCTGGGGGCGCTCCTCGTGCGCTTCGGGCACGCTCCCTGGGGCGCATCTGGATCGCGCTGGGGGGAGGGCGCTGGGGCGCCCAGCTCCCTGCGTGCCCCGGGCGCGCCTCCTGGAGGGAGCGCGCCAGCAGTTCACGGTGTGTCCCGCGCAGACCCTTCCGTGGGGGCGCCCTGGAGGCGCCCCCTGGGAGCGCCCCCTGGGAGCGCCCTGGGCCCCCCCCCCTGGGTTGGGCGTTCTCCCTCCTACTCCCTCCTCCTCCCTCCTCCTCCTCATCCTCCTCTTCCTCCTCCTCCTCCTCCTTCTCCTCCTCCTCCTCTTCCTCCTCTTCCTCCTCTTCCTCCTCCTCCTCCTGGGAGCTCCCCGGGTGCGCCCCGTGCGAGCGCAGTGCTGCGCACTCGGATCGCGCTGGGTGCACTCCTGAGAGCGGGGGCGCTCTGGGAGCGCTCTGGGAACTCCCTGGGCACGCTTCCTTGCGCCCTGTGAGCGCTCCTTGCGAGCGCTCCCCGTTCGCCCTGGGCGCGCTCCCTGGGGCGCCCTAGGCCCCCATTGAGAGCGCCCTTTGAGCGCGCTGGGGGCGCCCTGGCATGCGAGCGCTCCCGGAGCGCTCCCTAGATGACGATGATGGTGGGGATGACTTTGATGATTCTGGTGATGATGATGATTGGGATGATGATGATGATGATGGTGATGGTGGTGATGATGATGATGATGATAGTGACGATGATGATGCTGCTGCTGATGATGACGATGATGACGATGATGATGATGATGATGATGATGATGATGATGATGATGATGATGATGATGATGATGGGGGCCATGCTGGTGACGATGATGCTGATGGTGATGCTGATGATGATGGTGGTGATGTTGATGCTGGTATTGATGATGATGTTGATGGTGCTGATGCTGATGGTGGTGGTGGCGCGGAGGGGCGTCTTCCAGGCAAGGGGGAGCCGTATTGAGGATGATGAGGCTTATTTGTATTGCAGGGGTAATGACGATGGTGATAGTGCTGAGGATGATGTTGTCGATGATGGTGGTGATGATTGGGATGATGATGATGATGATGATGATGATGATGATGATGATGATGGTGACGATGACGTTGGTGATGATGATGATGATGATGATGATGATGATGATGATGATGATGATGATGATGATGGGGTCATGATGCTGATGTTGAAGCTGATGGTGATGCTGATGATGATAGTGATGCTGTTGATGCTGGTATTGATGATGTTGTTGATGGTGCCGATGCTCATGGTGGTGGTGCTGGCGAGTGGGGGCGTCGCGTGTGACATCTCTTTTTTCCTGGCAAGGGGGAGCCGTACTGAGGATGATGAGGCCTATTTGGATAGCAGGGGTAATGACGATGGTGATGGTGCTGAGGATGATGATGTCGATGATGGTGGGGGTGATTGGTGATGATGATGATGATGCTGATGATGATGATGACGCTGATGATGATGATGATGATGATGATGATGATGATGATGATGATGGGGGCCATGCTGGTGACGATGATGCTGATGGTGATGCTGATGATGATGGTGGTGATGTTGATGCTGGTATTGATGTTGTTGATGGTGCTGATGCTGATGGTGGTGGCGGCGCGGGGGGTCGTCGCGTGTGACATCTCGTTCTTCCAGGCAAGGGGGAGCCGTATTGAGGATGATGAGGTTTATTTGGATTGCAGGGGTAATGACAATGGTGATGGTGCTGAGGATGATGATGTCGATGATGGTGGTGATGATTGCGATGATGAGGATGGTGATGCTGATGATGATGATGATGATGATGATGATGCTGATGATGGTGCTTGTGACTTGTGATGAGGATGATGCTGATGATGATGATGATGATGGGGTCATGGTAACGAGGATGATGCTGATGGTGATGCTGATCATGATGTTGAGGATTTTGATGCTGGTATTGACGATGTTGTTGATGATGTTGGTGCTGATGGTGGTGGTGGTGGCGCGGGGGGGCGTCGCGTGTGACGTTACATCTCGTTCTTCCCGGCCAGGGAGAGCCGTACTGAGGATGATGCTATTTGCATTGCAGGGGTAATGACGATGGTGATGGTGCTGAGGATGATGATGATGATGATGAGGATGATGATGATGATGATGATGATGATGATATCGATGATGGTGGGGATGATTTCGATGACCATGGTGATGCTGATGATGCTGATGATGATGATGGTGGCGATCATGATGAGGATGATGCTGAAGATGATGGTGACGATGATGATGCTGCTGATGATGATGATGCCGATGCTGCTGCTGCTGCTGCTGATGATGATGATGATGATAATTATGATGATGATGATGATGATGATGATGATGATGATGATGATGATGATGATGATGATGATGATGATGATGATGCTGATGATGATGATGATGATGATGATGATGATGATGATGATGATGAGGTGGGCCATGATGGCGAGGATGATGCTGATGGTGATGCTGATGATGATGTGATGATGGTGATGCTGGTATTGATGATGTTTTTGATGGTGCTGATGCTGATGGTGGTGGTGGATGGTTAGAGCTGGACCCAGCTCTAGTAGGATTCTGTTCGAGCTGGGCCCAGCTCTAGTAGTATTCTATTAGGGCTCGTCGCAGCTCTAGTAGGATTCTATCAGACTGACCCAACTCGAGCTGGTTTCTATTTTAGAGCTGGACCCAGCTCTTGTAGGATTCTAGTAGAGCTGGATATAGCTCTAGTAGGATTATATTCGAGCTGGATCCAGCTCTAGTAGGATCCTATTCGAGCTGGACCCAGCTCTAGGAGGTGTCTAGTAGAGCTGGATCCAGCTCTAGTAGGAGTTTATTCGAACTGGACCCAGCTCTAGCAGGTTTCTGTTATAGCTGGACCCAGCTCGAATAACTTTATATTATAGCTGTTCCCAGTTCTAGCAGGATTCTATTAGAGCTGGGCCCAGCTCTAGTAAGTTTCGCTTAGAGCTGGACCCAGCTCTAGCAGGACTCTATTCGACGTGGACCCCGCTCTGGTGGGACTCTATCAGAGATGGACCCAGCTGAAGTAGGATTCTATTAGACCTGGACCCAGTTCTAATAGCATTCGGATCGTTTTGCTGTAGGAGCTCGCTTCACTGGCGCGCACATTTAGGCTTTGCTTGAGATTCAATTGGGAACTCTTATTGTTTCATGTCCATTAGCATGTGATGGTGCTGGTTTCGCGGTTTCGGTTGCGACCCCCCCCTCGCAATTGGGGGGCAGGGTGCCAGTAACCCGTCCTCGCCAGCCTGTGGAGGCTGGGGATCTGGCACCCTGCCCCCAGGGTGCCAGAGGCCCGTCCCTGCCTTGTTGTTGTTGTTGTTGCTGTTGCTGTTGTTGTTGCTGTTGCTGCTGTTGTTGTTGCTGCTGTTGTTGCTGCTGCTGTTGCTGTTGTTGTTGCTGTTGTTGTTGTTGTTGTTGTTGTTGTTGTTGTTGTTGTTGTTGTTGATGTTGTTCTTGTTATTGTTCTTGTTGTTGTTGATGTTGCTGCTGCTGTTGTTGTTGCTGTTGTTGTTTCGGGTGGGGATAACCTCCTGCCACTTCTTGTCGCCACGTGTACCTTCCAAGCCAGTCTTACAACCCCGGCCGAACATATGTGGCCGATCGGGCATGGAGTCCATTCTTTGCAACGCGCTGCATGGAACGACTTCGCAAGTTTCGCTGCGTCCTCTAGGGGCACAGTCGACAGGCTGTTGTTCTTCAGGAGCAGCGAGTTGAACTGTTGCTTTGCAAGGGTTCGAACATCCAGGCCGCAACCTACACGAGTGTGCACCCAATCGATCATGTGCCCCAGCTCCGCGACGATGTTTGGCACCCGTGCGACACGAGGAGGGTGAGATCAGGGGCTGCGGAGGAGGAGGGCCCCCCCGCCTCCTCTCGTTACGGGAGGAAGTCACGACGGACAGTCTTGGTGGCAATTTTCGGCCTGTGGGTGCCCGCGGGGCAGATCTGCTCAGCGGCCCCTGGGGCGCCACGGGGCCCCGCACACCCGCCGAGAAATTCTGGAGGCTGCCCTGGGAGTGCTTTCGCCTGGCGCCGGGGCCCTCAAGGAGATGGCTGGGCACGAGGAGCCAGTCCCGAGAAAGGGGTCCAGATCTCTCCGGGGGTCCACGCCGCGAGAACGTCGCGGCGTCGGAGATCTGTGGAGGAGCAGGAGGACGAGGACAAGGAGGAGGAGGCGGAGGAGGAGGAGGAGGAGGAGGAGGAAACTCGAGCGGCACACAGAACATGGCCTGGAACAGGGGAGAGAAGAGAGGAGAGGAGTCGGGAGTTGTAGGCCTGGATGGTGGGACAGGCATGGCAGAGCATCAGGTGGGATTCGGAGACACAACTCAGTAGAAGGCGCGCAGCGGCTTCATCCGCTTGTTGACAGCAGGTGGCGTTCGCCCGTGCCTGGGGCAGAAGTGGTGCGAGGGAGGGTGATGGGATTATCTGGATAGATGCGGCACCCGCTGCAATACAGAGGCTGATGCAGGACTTCATCTGGGGTCCTATGACAATAGTGTAAACTGGCGGGGGGGAAGGCGTAATGATGGGATCAATGATTCTGATAGTGGTCATGCCCCCCAGTCTGCGACTGAGGGTGACGACGGGGCATCTGCTATGACGTCGCACAGGAGTGACAGCACCCGTGTCCCGAGGGAGAGCGTGAGGGAGCAGAAGAAGGGTCCGATCAGCTGCAGCACGAGGAGTGTGGCAGCACTGGGGAGTGGGACCCGCGCGAGTGGGCGTGAGGCCATCAAGTCCGTGATGATGGCCTCCGACGAGTCGCGGCGGCTCGGGCACGACTTTGCCGGGCCCCCGGGATCTCGGCTGTCGCCCGAGGGCTCGCTTTCGCGCCCCTGGAGCGGACGCTTCGGCGGTGGAGGGGGTGGCCGCGGTGGATGGCGGGAGCGGGGGACGCCTACTCCAGATTTCGTAATAAAGGGAGGGGGGTCTCATTTCGGGGGGGGTCTCTTCCAGGCTATCTTGGAGGGCCTGGGGGGATCTGGGGACGATGTTTTCGAGGGTTCTCCCACGGGGGGGGGTCTGAAATGGCTTGTCTTGGAGGGTCCAGACCCCCTCCCTTTTATTACGAAATCTGGACTATCGTCGCAGGCCTAGAGATTGACACCAACACCAACATCGGCGGTGTGCCTCCACCAAGGGAAGAAGATCCCGATCTCGGTGATGGTGGTCATATTCTGGCTTCCAGGGTGGCCGACAGATTACCAGCAGCACCGAACTCTGGGATGTGGAGGCACCCCCCTGCGTTGGTGTTGGTGCCAATTTCCAGGTCTCCAAGGATGGCCGTGGTGGATGGTGGGAGCGGGGGACGCCAATCGGAGTATGTACGGTCGGATCGAGGTATCAGATCGAGGTTGGTTTGGGGAGGGCACCCTCATGCTTTTCGTTTGTGGAATGTTCTCGTGCATCCTGGGGGAGGGTGGCCTCGAGTGTTCTTCAGTGTTTCTGGCAGAGGGTCTCGTGTTCCTGAAGGGTGTTCTTCTGTCCTAGATCTGGCCGTATTAGATTTGCATCGGTGCCCGACTGGCCTGCACGCGCAAGGCAGTGCTCGGCGGAGGTCCAGAAGAAAGAGTCCCATCAAGTCGACTATGTGCCTTTGCGGGTTGGTGTGTCCTTTCAAAATCCAGGGATCCGCCGTCGCCGCCGCCGCCGCCGCCGCCGTCGTCGTCGTCGTCGTCGTCGTCGTCGTCGTCGTCGTCGTCGTCGTCGTCGTCGTCGTCGTCGTCGTCGTGGTCGTCGTCGTCGTCGTCGTCGTCGTCGTCGTCGTCGTCATCGTCATCGTCATCGTCATCGTCGTTGTCGTCGTCGACATCGACGACGACGACCTGCCCCGACCGAGCCAGGGAGCTGCCATGGAGCGTCCATGTTGGCCCCGTGCTGGCACAGGAGTGCTGGCAGCGTGCGTGGCCGTCGAGGTGACATGCTCGCACGGGCAGGAGCACCGCCCCACGGGGTGGCGCACTGCCCAGGCAGAGCCAGTGCTGCGGGCGGCGAGGGCGCAGAGCTGCGGTGGCCAGGCGCCGCAGCAGAACAGCCCGCCTCCCAGGGGGGCACCGCCGGGGGAGGACGGCGGCCACGTCGCAGCCACGCTCGGGCAGGCGGGGGAGGCTGCGCATCCCGGCCCGGACCCCGCGACACTGGACCCATTGATGCGCCATGGTTAGAAGTTCGCGAGTACGTTAAGAAGAATAGGGGGACGTGGTTTTGTTAGGAGTCGGGGTCGAGCGCAGCGGCGGCGCCACTCCAGGTTGGAGCCAGCACGCTGCGGCTGAACCTGGCGCACCGCCCCCGTCCTCGCCCCCCGGCGCGCAGTCGGGGAGGCACGGCCCAGGTTCGGAGGGCAAGGACAACCCCGGCCGCGGCCGCATTCTGCGTCGGGGGTGCGTCCCCCTGGAGCAGGCCTACCTTCACCGTGCAGCGCCAGGGCCCAGCGCCCTGCCTGTCGTGGTCAACCTGGGGGGCTTCCTGTTGGCCAGGGGCGACGCGGAGGCCCGGCCCGCCTGCCTCTCCGCAGAGGCCTGGGGCAGGGCCTGCGACCCGAGGGATGGAAAGTGCCCAAGGAAGGGGCGGTGCGATCCCCCCGCGGTTTCGACGGTGCCTGCCGTGCTTTCCTGGAGGACCTGGTCGGGGCTCACCACGACATCCGCACCCTCTGCCACCGCCGCAGCCTGGACGTCGACTGCAGCGTTGCCTGGCAGCAGCAGCAGCAGCAGCAGCAGCAGCAGCAGCAGCAGCAGCAGCAGAACCGCCAGACCCAGGCGGCCGGCGGGAAGTGCCAGGAAAGCATGTGCCCCGGCGAAGCATCCTGGCCCATAGGGGGCCAGTTCCGATTGCGCGGGATCTAGCCCCAGACAGGATCGCGTCGTAAAAAATTCAGGACGGGAAGTTTTTGGCCATTTTCGGCTTCGGGGGGTCCTCGCCAGGCCTCGGGAGCGTCAAAAACGACTCAGGACGAAAGACCGGTCCCGGGGAAAGGGCCAGGATTTCCAGGGACGCCGTCATGAAAAGAACAGGACGTCGCATTTCTGGGGCTGGGTGCCTGGCCTGCGTCGACAGTGTAGCCAACGCAGCTCCCGGGCCAAAGCGGCGCGTGTCGCGAGCCCCACGTGGACTTTGCGGACTGCGACCACTGTTACGTGCCTCCCGCCCCAGGAGGAGCCCCGCGTCACCGGTCCACTTGCGCACCAGTCGGGTGCGTTGCGTTCGGCGCGCCTCCCACCGCAGGTGGGGCGCCACATTCCGACCCCCTTGCGCGGCGTCCACCCCGGGGTGGTGCGCCGGGCTCTGCTGTGAGCGTGCCCCAGCTTCTGAGCAGCCTGTGTGTGTGCGCCGGTCGGGTGCGTCCTCGCGGGTGCGCCATCCACCCCAGGTGGTGCGCCCCTCCCGACCCCTGGCGCGTCATCCGTCCCAGGTGAGGCGCCTCCCTTCCCCGCCCGCCTTCTGGCGTTTACCCGCCCGTCTGTGCGCCAGTCAGGTGCGTTTCACCCTGCGCGCCGTCCGCCCCAGGTGGCGCGCTTGCAACCGCCCCGCGGGCGTGGCATCCACCCCAGGTGCCGCGCCCTGCGCCCGCTGAAGCTCCAGCCCAGCTCTTGACCACCTGTCTGTGCACTGGTTAGGTGTTCCTGGTGCCCCAGGAGCGCGCCATCCACCCCGTTTGCTGCGCCCCCCCTCTCCCTGCCGCAGGCGCGCTCGCCGCCGCCCCGGCGCGTATGGTGCGCGCGCCGCCGGACTGTCCCATGGTCGGGCAGGTTCGCCCCTGCGCCGAGCGGCTGGTGGCACTTGCTCGGTGGCACGCTGCCGCCCCCACTTTGGGGCGGGCCGCTTCCGCGTCGCCTTCCTGTTTTTATGGAGGATGACGATTAATAAATGACCGGGGGTCGTGTTCACGCGGCGGCGCCCGGGATGACGATTAGAAAACACCGGCCGCGGGCTGGAGAACTATTTTTTTATCGTTCTCCTCCAGTCAGAAAATGATGCAAAAATAACAGAAAACTATATTTTTTTTAATCGTTTTCTCTCCTATTTTTTTTGCGAATCGTCATCCCGCATTACCTCCCGGCTGCTTCCGCCAGAAGCCCTCGCCTGGCCCCGCTGCGGCTGGGCGCCGCCCTGCCCGCGGCTGCGATGCGTGCGCCGGCCCTGGGCCAGGCCTCGCTGCCCCCCGCCCCTGCCCCGCCCGCCCGCGGCATTCTGCGCGGCTCCCACGCGCCGCTCCTGCGGTCGCCGGGGTCTCGTGCCTCCTTCCGGCCGTGCTGGCTACGCCCGGCCTCTCCGCGCCTTTCCTCCTCGTGGCTCCCAGCTCGCCCTGCGCTGCGAACGCGCTCCGCCTTGGCTGCCGCCGTGTCGCCCGCCCGTCGAGCCGCCCCAGCTCTCGGTCCGCCATGGCAGCTCACCAGCGCCGCCTCCCCAGCCGCTGCACTGGCTCCCGCTCTGGCGGATGGGGCCGCCGTTGGCCCTGCAGCTCTGGCACCTCCCGCCTTCCTGGGCCTCGGCCGGCAGTGCAGCCGCCGGGCCCTCCCTTGGCTGCGCTCGTGATGCCGCCCCGCGCCCGCTGACAGGGGCTGCCCACTGGCTCGGCCGCCCCGCGCGCCCCGCTGCGCCCTCGCCGCGTGAGTGCGCCTTCCCGTCTTGGTTGCCCCTCCTCCGCGGCCGTTCCTCGTCTCTTCCTCCCTGTTTGCATGCGGGGCAATTTGTAATGCCGCAGCCCGGGTTGCTTGGGCGCGCGTGCGGACTGCTTTTGCCGCGCTGCGACGGGGCAATTTTTTGTTTGGTGCGCGATCTCTCGAAGAGTGGGTCTGAGTTTCTGAGCCAATCTTTTGCAATCCATTTTCCCATCTCTATGCGATTCATTCAGTTTCCGACTGGCGGGGCACGTGTGTCGCTGGGCTGGTTTGCCCGTGAATCGCGCGATTGGGATCGCCCTCCTGAGGGGCAGCGGGATTCTCGATCTGCCTCTCCTGGTCGTCGCTGGCGTGGAAAGAAAAATCCGTCGGCGCATCCGACCGCATGCTTCTCAAACCGCCTGGTTCGCTTTCCAGGCTGCCTGTCGGTGCGCCTACTTCCCTGCGCGTGTGCCGTACTCCTGATCAGCGCGTCCCGTCACCGTGCAGTCGTCAATTCTCAGGAGGGAACAACACACACAAACATAAAGAATCGTCGATTCCGAAACATATTGAGATATAGGAAAGGGAGGGGAGGACGCAAATCCAGGAAACATGGACAGTATGGGGAATCGTGGGATTAGTGTCTACTTCTTTGTGTGCTCCTGGGCCCCTTCGGCGCTGCCTGGGGGACGTGGTCGGGAGGTTCGGCCGCGGATCGAACAGAACATCAGAGTGAGGGGGCTGAACCGAACGGTCATTCACTGTCCCTGGGTGCGTGGCTGAACTGGCATTCCGCGATGCGGAATCTTGTTGTTGTTGTTGTTGTTGTTGTTGTTGTTGTTGTTGTTGTTGTTGTTGTTGTTGTTGTTGTTGTTGTTGTTGTTGGTTGTTGGTTGTTGGTTGTTGGTTGTTGTTTGTTGTTTGTTGGTTGTTGGTTGTTGGTTGTTGTTTGTTGGTTGTTGGTTGTTGGTTGTTGGTTGTTGGTTGTTGTTTTTTTGGTTGTTGTTGTGTGTTGTGTGTTGTGTGTTGTGTGTTGTGTGTTGTTTGTTGTTTGTTGTTTGTTGTTGTTGTTGTTGTTGTTGTTGTTGTTGTTGTTGCGTTTGTTGTTTGTTGTTTGTTGTTTGTTGTTTGTTGTTTGTTGTTTGTTTGTTTGTTTGTTTGTTTGTATGGATGTTTGTTTGTTTGTTTGTTTGTTTGTTTGTTTTTGTTTGTTTTTGGTTGTTCGTTTGTTTGGTTGTTTGTTTGTTGTTTGTTGTTTGTTGTTTGTTTTTTGTTGTTTGTTGTTGTCGTCGTCCCACCTGCGGCCCGCCCCGCGACCCACCCGCGACCCACCCCGCGACCCACCCCGCGACCCACCCGCGACCCACCCCGCGACCCACCCGCGACCCGCCCCGCGACCCATCCGCGACCCACCCGCGACCCACCCGCGACCCACCCCGCGACCCGCCCCCTGCCGACCCACCGGCGACCCACCGGCGACCCACCCGCGACCCACCCGCGACCCACCCGCGACCCACCCGCGACCCACCCGCGACCCACCCCGCGACCCGCCCCCTGCCGACCCACCGGCGACCCACCGGCGACCCACCCGCGACCCACCCGCGACCCACCCGAACCCACCCGCGACCACCCGCGACCCACCCCGCGACCCGCCCCTGCCGACCACCGCGACCCCCGGCACCCGCGACCCACCGCGACCCACCCGCGACCCACCCGCGACCCGACCCGCGACCCAACCCACCCCGCGACCCACCCCGACCCCCCGCGACCCACCGCGACCCACCCCGCGACCCACCCAAAATTTTCGGCGCCTGCGGAGGACTTCTTTTGCATTCGTTCCAGGTCGATCCAGGTGGAGAACCTGCGACCCACCCGCGACCCAAACCGCGTTCAGTGTACAAATCAAAATTTTCGGCGCCTGCGGCGGGCTGTTTTTGAATTCCTTCCAGGTGGAGGTGGAGAGCCCGCGACCCACCCGCGACCCAAACTACATTCACTGAACAAGCCAAAACTTCGGCGCCTGCGGCGGGTTTCTTTTGCATCGGCGACCCACCCGCGACCCACCGGCGACCCACCCCGAGGCCCACCCGCGACCCTCCCCGCGACCCACCCGCGACCCACCGGCGACCCACCCGCGACCCACCGCGACCCACCCGCGACCCACCCGCGACCCACCCCGCGACCCACCCAAAATTTTCGGCGCCTGCGGCGGGTTTCTTTTGCATTCTTTGCAGGTGGAGAACCTGCGACCCACCCTTGACCCAAAGCGCGTTCAGTGTACAAGTCAACATATTCGGCGCCTGTGGCGGGCTGTTTTTGAATTCCTTCCAGGTGGAGGTGGAGAGCCCGCGACCCACCCGCGACCCAAACTACGTTCACTGAACAAGCCAAAGCTTCGGCACCTGCGGCGGGTTTCTTTTGCATCGGCGACCCACCCGCGACCCACCCGCGACCCACCGGCGACCCACCCGCGACCCACCCGCAACCCACCCGCGAGACCCACCCGCGACCCACCCGCGACCCACCCGCGACCCACCCGCGACCAACCCCGCGACCCACCCGCGACCCAACCCGCGACCCACCCAAAATTTTCGGCGCCTGCGGCGGGTTTCTTTTGCATTCGTTCCAGGTCGTTCCAGGTGGAGAACCTGCGACCCACCCGCGACCCAAACCGCGTTCAGTGTACAAATCAAAATTTTCGGCGCCTGCGGCGGGCTGTTTTTGAATTCCTCCCAGGTGGAGGTGGAGAGCCCGCGACCCCCACCCCGAACCCAAAACTACGTTCTCGCACTGAACAAGCCCAAAAACTTCGCCGCCTGCGGCGGTTTCTTTTTGCATCGGGCGACCCACCCGCGACCCACCGGCGACAACCGGCGAACCCACCCGCGACCCACACCCCCTCGCCGCACCCGCGACCCCACCCGCGACCACACTCAGCGACCCCCTCGCGACCCGCCCCGCGACCCACCCCGCGCTCCACCCGCGACCCACCCGCGACCCACCCCGCGACCCACCCAACATTTTCTCGCCTGCGGTGGGTTTCTTTTGCATTCGTTCCAGGTGGAGCACCTGCGACCCACCCGCGACCCAAACCGCGTTCAGTGTGCAAATCAAAATTTTGGGCGCCTGCGGCGGGCTGTTTTTGAATTCCTTCCAGGTGGAGGTGGAGAGCCCGCGACCCACCCGCGACCCAAACTACGTTCACTGAACAATCCAAAACTTCGGCGCCTGCGGCGGTTTTTCTTTTTTGCATCGGCGAACCCACGCCGCAGACCCCACCGGCGACCCCGTCGACCCACCCCGCGACCTCACCCGCGCCCACCCCGAACCCACCCGCGACCCACCCGCGACCCACCCCGCGACCCCCCGCGCCCACCCGCGACCACCCGCGACCGCCCCCGCGACCCACCCAAAATTTTCGGCGCCTGCGGAGGGTTTCTTTTGCATTCGTTCCAGGTCGATCCAGGTGGAGAACCTGCGACCCACCCGCGACCCAAACCGCGTTCAGTGTACAAATCAAAATTTTCGGCTCCTGCGGCGTGCTGTTTTTGAATTCCTTCCAGGTGGAGGTAGAGCGCCCGCGACCCACCCGCGACCCAAACTACGTTCTCACTGAACAAGCCAAAACTTCGGCGCCTGCGGCGGGTTTCTTTTTTGCATCGGCGACCCACCCGCGACCCACCGGCGACCCACCGGCGACCCACCCGCGACCCACCCGCGACCCACCCGCGACCCACCCGCGACCCACCCGCGACCCACCCCGCGACCCACCCCGCGACCCACCCGCGACCCACCCGCGACCCACCCCGCGACCCACCCGCGACCACCCGCGCCCCCCCGCGACCCCCCCAAAATTTTCGGCGCCTGCGGCGGCATTCTTTCCAGGTCGATCCAGGTGGAGAACCTGCGACCCACCCGCGACCCAAACCGCGTTCAGTGTACAAATCAAAATTTTCGGCTCCTGCGGCGTGCTGTTTTTGAATTCCTTCCAGGTGGAGGTGGAGAGCCCGCGACCCACCCGCGACCCAAACTACGTTCTCACTGAACAAGCCAAAACTTCGGCGCCTGCGGCGGGTTTCTTTTTTGCATCGGCGACTCACCTGCGACCCACTGGCGACCCACACCGAGATCCACCCGCGACCCACCCCGCGACCCACCCGCGACCCACCCGCGACCCAGCCGCGACCCACCGCGACCCACCCGCGACCCACCCGCGACCCATCCGAAATTTTCGGCGCCTGCGGCGGGCTTCTTTTGCATTCGTTCCAGGCTTCCTTTGCATTCGTGAGGGCCACGAGGTCCACCGGCTCGACGCCCGCGTCGCCCGCGCCCGCCCCCTCACTCTTATCCGCAATTGCGGGGTGCTACGTATCGTCGGAAGTCTCGCAAGGTGTCCCTTGCCTGGGTCGTCCCCAGCTGTTCGTGCCGTGTTGGGAAGCCTGGGGGCCCCCTGGGCCTCGCGTCCGCCGCAGTGCCTGCACGACTTGTCGCCTTGGCCTCCTCCTCCTCCTCCTCCTCGTCCTCCTCGTCCTCCTCGTCCTCCTCCCTCCTCCCTCCTCCTCCTCCTCCTTCTCCTTCTCCTCCTCCCCCTCCTCCTCCTCCTCCTCCTCCTCCTCCTCCTCCTCCTCCTCCTCCTCCTCCTCCTCCTCCTCCTCCTCCTCCTCCTCCCCCTCCCCATCCCCCCATCCGCCCCCGAACCCCTGAGGTCAGCACCGAGATGCTCTTCGTCGGGATCGTGGCCGAGAACACAGGCGCCCCCCCCGTGCGCCAGCGCAGCCGCGCCGCGAGGCCCGGCCGTCGGGCCCCCAGCCTCCCCAGGATGAGGGGGGAGGACGGCCAGAGCGAGCCAGAGATGCATAAGCGATGCTGCAGTGCGCCCTCCCGTTCTTTCAGGAGGAGGAGGAGGAGGAGGAGGAGGAGGAGGAGGAGGAGGAGGAGGAGGAGGAGGAGGAGGAGGAGGAGGAGGAGGAGGAGGAGGCGACGACACCTTCCTGGTGCAGTCGTTGCCGAAGGGCTAGGCGGGTTTTCTCTGGGGAGGAGGCAGCAGCAGCAGCAGGATGATCCAAGGTGGATGTCCCTAAGTGCCCTCCCCATGCGCCCCTGCAAGTCCTTCCTTTCACCACAGGAGGCGCCCCTCGCTGAAAGTCCGGCACGGCTGGGCCGCCCGTTCTTGGTCACGAGCTTCGAGGGCGTCTCCAGCGGCAGTTCCATTTTGAAAGGCAGCCGCCATGGATGCGTGCAGTGCTACGTGCGTTGAAGTTTTGGTCCCCAATCTTAGCGAAGTCTTTTGCATGAGTTCAATGTGGGAAAACAACAATTCTCCCTCCTGGTGAACGTTGCATTCAAATCGAATGCGCGCGACGCTGAGGCGAGAGCATCATTTTGGAAATGAGCCGCCCTCCATCCGTGAAGCGAGGGCAATCTGTTGAAAATTGGGTGCGCGGCTTTAACACGAGAGCGTTGCAAACTTTTGGGGCGCATGTGCGCTGCGATGATGCGAGAGCCACATCTTGAAAAGGAGCAGCCCTCCATCTGCGAAACTGTTGCAAACGTGTTAGACGAATGTGCGCGGGTCTGAGCCGAGAGCCACATCTGTTAAAGTAGCGCCCCTCCCCCTAGGTACAACTGCTGCAAATGTGAAAGGCGAATGTGCGCGCCTCTAGCACAAGAACCACCTTTTGAAAACGACCGTTCTCCACCCGTGAACTTTTTGCCGGCTTGTTCGAGTATTTTGCGCGGCGCTGAGGTGAGAGCCACGCTTTGAAGATGACTCCCCCTCTCCACCCGTTCAACTGTTGCAGGGGCGGGAGTCACATTGTGGAGAATCACATTGTGGAGATGGACCTCTCTCCATCCGTGAATTTGTTACACATGTCGTGCTTCAGGGTCGAACCTGACGAAGAAGTTTTAGGCGAAGCGCCTCGCCCGCCCTACCGACACGCACGGGGGTACGACGGGAAAGAGTTAATCATACGGAAAGGGATGCGCGAGGAGGAGGAGGAGGGAGGAAGGAGGGATGAGGAGAGAGAGGGAAGATAGGAGAGAAGGAGGAGGGAGGGGCGGGGGAGGAGAGAAGGGGTGGGGGAGGGATGGGGTCGAGGGAAGAGGATAAGGAGGAGGAGGATGGGGAGCATGAGGTGAGGTGGGGGGGAGGAATGATGATATTGCTGCTGCTGATGATGATGATGTTGATGATGATGAGGCTGTTGATGATGCTGCTGATGATTCTGATGCATGCTGTTGATGAGGATGATGTAGTGGACGAGAAAATGGGATAACAAGGACAATGATTAGAATGGTGACGGTGGGGGGCAGGAGGGACGACGACGATGATGACGACAGCGATGATGATAATGATGATGATGATGGTGATGACGATGGTGATGATGATGGTGATGATGATGATGATGATTAGGATAATGATGATGGTGATGATGCTGCTGATGATGGTAATGATGATGAGGAGGACCACGATGATGATGATGATGATGATGGTGGTAGTGACTATGATGATGACGATGCCGATGGTCATGATCATGATGAGGGTGATGGTGATGCTGATTGCGATTCTGGTGATGAGTATGATGACGATGATGTTGCGTATCATCAGTATGACGGTGGTAATGGTGATGACGAGGGTCAGGCGGATGCGTGTTGGTGGTAATGGCGATGATGATGCGACTGGTGGTGATGATGCTGATAATGTTAACGATACCGATAAATATGATGATGTTGCTGATGCTGATGCTGATGATGATAATGAGGTTGATGATGATGATGCAAATGATGCTGCTGCTGCTGATGATGATGATGCTGATGCTGCTTTTGATGATGACGATGATGCTGACGACGATGCTGATGATGATGAGGAGGAGACTGATGATGATGATGATGATGCGGATGATGATACTGATGATGATGACGATGATGATGATGATGATGATGATGATGATGGGGATGGGGATGCTAGTGATGCTGATGATGAGTATGATGAGGATGATGCTGTTGATGATGATGATGCTGGTGTTGATGATGACGATGCTGACGATGACGATGACGATGACGATGAAGATGATGCTGATGCTGCTGCTGATGATGATGATGATGATGATGATGATGAGTGATGATGGTGACGATGCTGACGATGCTAATGGTGATTGAATGACGATGATGACGATGCTGCTGCTGCTGATGATGATGATGATGACGATGATGATGCTGCTGCTGATGATGTTGATGATGATGATGCTGATGATGATGATGGTAAAATGATGATGTTGATGATGATGATGATGATGATGATGATGATGATGGTGGTGATGCTGATGATGATGATGATGAAGATGATGATTGATGATTGAGACGATGCGGATGCTGTTGTTATGCTGATGATGGCGGTGTTGATGATGATGATGATGATGATGATGCTGATGATGATGATGATGATGATGATGATGAGGCTGATGATGCTTTTGATACTGATGACGATGATGATGATGATGATGATGATGCTGATGATGACGTTTCTAGTGATGCTGCTGATGATGATGAGGATGAGGATGAGGATGCGGATGATGAGCATGATGAGGATGAGGATGAGGATGAGGATGAGGATGAGGATGAGGATGCTGATGATGATGATGGTGATGATGATGATGATGATGATGATGATGATGATGATGATGATGATGATGGTGGTGGTGGTGGTGGTGGTGGTGGTGATGGTGATGGTGATGGTGATGATGATGCTGCTGATGATGATGATGATGATGATGAGGAGGAGGAGGAGGAGGAGGATGAGGAGGAGGAGGAGCAAGAAGTCGGAGGAGGAGGCGGAGGAGGAGGAGGAGGAGGAGGAGGTTGAGGAGGAGGAGGACGATGATGATGACCCTCGAGCCCACGGTCTGCGGGATTCCCGCTCCCCCGGCCCGCTCGCGAGCGGGCCCGCCTCTCCTGCCTCCCTGAACTCTCCCTCCGCTCCCTCGCCGTCCCTTGTATACAGTGGGGGCACATGCCAAGAAGCACCCTGCTCGCCTTCAGAGTGCCCTGGATTTCTTGGGCTTCGATAGTTTTGTGATGGAGGGCGTGACGTTCACACACCAAATATCAGCCAGCGTTGACTACAAATTGATGACACGACTCAAATCAAGGAACCAGAGGACTCACGCACGCTTGGAATCCACAACTCAGCGAGCAAGCAAGCGTGCAAGCAAGCGTGCAAGCAAGCGTGCAAGCAAGCGTGCAAGCAAGCGTGCAATCAAGCAAGCAAGTAAGCGTGCAAGCGCGCAAGCAGGCAAGCAAACAAGCAGGCCTAGGCATAGGCATAGGCGTAGGCATAGGAGTTAGGCATAGGCATAGGCATAGGCATAGGCATAGGCATAGGCATAGGCATAGGCATAGGCATAGGCATAGGCATAGGCATAGGCATAGGCATAGGCATAGGCATAGGCATAGGCATAGGCATAGGCATAGGCATAGGCATAGGCATAGGCATAGGCATAGGCATAGGCATAGACATAGGCACAGGCACAGGCATAGGCATAGGCATAGGCATAGGCATAGGCATAGGCATAGGCATAGGCATAGGCATAGGCATAGGCATAGGCATAGGCATAGGCAGAGGCAGAGGCATAGGCAGAGGCACAGGCATAGCCATAGGATTTTTTTGGGGGCGTAGGAAGTAGGGGGGGGGCAACGGACCAATCAGTAGGGCTTGAGCTAGGACTCCTACAGGGCAAGCCTATTTGGAGAAAATCGATGGACATCCTGCGGTCTCAGGGTTGGGTTTCCTGTGGGAGGGGTTTCTTGTGGAGGGCCCCCTACTGCACTGGCGCTTTTTGGTTCAAGACTGGGCATCTGGGCTCACCCGACTTCAGGCCTTCACCGAATCTGCCTCGTCTGCACAGCATGGCAGCGGCAAGTGCGGAAGGGGGAGGCCAGAAATTGAAGCCTCAGGGCAGCAGCCCACAGGCTCTTGATAAGAAGTTGGCGAAAACGTTGAACGCCGATGTCGATAGAGACGATTCGTTGGCATGGGAAGTGGAGGAGAGGAAGAGATGGACATGAAAGTCATGATGAGGAAGATGTTGGGCAGGATGAAGGGAATTAGCAAGGACATGCATGACATTCAGAATGTGACGGAGGAGACACGGGGGGGCATCTTTGTGGAGATGCTCTTGGAGACTGGGGACATATTTTTGGATGTTGTGGCTGCTCCTTTCAATGCCGTTCTGAATGGGTCTTCAGAGCCGCCGGAGACGCGGAAACCGTCCGTGATCAAGGTAAAGCCTGGAGACCGGAGAGTGCCAAATAACTACAGACCAGTAACTATTATTCCAACTTTGTGTAAGTTAGCGTTTTTTTTTTTTGTTGTTTTTTTGTTTGTTTTTTGTTAAAAAACAACACCGTTTATAGTTGATCTTGTAGCCGCATCAAAGTTCTGACCAAGGTGGGGTCTGGAAAGACGTCTCGACACAAGACTACCTCTTCACAATAATGATGGTCCATGGAAAGGCTGACGAGCACCAGCTTCCTCTATGGTGCGCCGCGCTGGACTTCCAGAAAACTTTCGACTCCGTGGAACAAGGCTTTTCGAGTGCTCTATTCAAGCAAGGTGTGCCTGTGGGTTACATTAAATTAGTATAGAGGTTCTACGGCAAGCAAAGAACGCAGATACACACTGACGCACGGAGTCGGTGGTTCGACGTATCACCTGGGACGAAACAGAGGGGATCCGCTGAGCTCCTTGATGTCCACTGCGCTGCTGGGGGATACTATGCGACATTTGAAGGTGGGCTGGCAAACCGAACGTTGTGGCATTCAAGTGGGTTGCGTGCAGGATTGGCGAATGAGCAATTTGTATTTCGCCGATCATGGTCTTCTAACCAGCAAGACGTTTCATCAGATCAAACATATGCTGGCGGATGTAAGTGGATCAGCTGATGCAGTTGGCCTTCATTTTCACCCAAACAAAAATGATATCTGCACCAATGCGGCGAAGAAGGCAGTGCGTGGGAAAGGTACTAATACAGACAGGGGCGGTACGCACGTCAAACATTTTGAGCTCTGAAGAGAAGCTCGAGTACTCTGGCAGATTGTTGGTTGGTGGAATTTACGCACAGGGCGAGGTCGAGCACCGGTCTCGTCAGTCGTGGAAACCACTCATGACTCACGAGTCGGGATTCACGTGCAAGCGGTGCACTTTGTTAAGTCGTCTCCGCCTTTTCGGCAGCGTCGTTTCCCCTGTCGGCGCCTTCAGCCAGACACTGACGGCGCAACCGCGACGCGCATTGCGAACGACTCAGCGCAAGACGCTACGCATGATCCTGGGATCTGGCAGACAGCCAGTGGAAACCCACACGGACCTCGAGTCGGTGAGCTTGTTTGCGACAGTTCCTGGCGCCGATGACGTGCAAGAACAAGTGAACGCTTAATCTTGACAAGGACAACGAACGGGCGATCGGAGCGACAAGACACCATCGAATCACACGTATCTTCCAATAGCGTTCAATATTGGCTTCTAATTTGGGGACGCCGGGTGTAGAAATTCGCTTGCCGCGTTACGGCGCTTTCTTCTTTTGGAATTTGGCCATTGCACGCTACCCAGTGGGACGCCGGCAGGGACAGGCGGGCAAAAAGGCAGGCCGGCGAACCTTTTGCACAAGAGGAGGGCTGACGACGTTTGCGCGTATTTACGATAAAAACAATCAAAAGGGTTTGATGCATTGCATGACAAATGGTTTCTTCTGCCTTCCTATGCTGAGCAGCGGCCTGCGCAAGAAAATGGTTTCATTGACGTTCCCAGCTGAGCGCTACGGCGCTACGCGCCCGTCCCCGTAGTGGGGACAACTCTGCTGCGGCGGCGCCTCCCTTTTCTATTTTTGCAAATGCCCCTGTGGTGTGGACACCCTATTTCCGCGAGTCAGTCTGTCTGCTTGTCTGTCTATCTGTCTGTCTGACTGTCTGCCTGTTTGTCAGTCTGTCTGTCGGTCTCTCGCTCTCGCTCTCGCTCTCGCTCTCGCTTTCTCTCTTTCTCTCTTTTTGTTTTTCTCTCTCATCTTCTTTCTTTCTTTCTTTCTTATTTTCTCCAGCCATCCTGTGTTGGGTCCTCGGTTTGAATGGACAACGCCCCGCGTCCACCTCTCCTTTCCTTCCTCCTCCCCCTCCTCCCTCCTCCCATCATCGAATCATCTCCATCCTCGTCACCACCATCATCTTTCATCATCATCTCTCATCATCACCATCATCATCCTCATCCTCATCCTCATCCTCATCATCATCATCATCATCATTATCATCATCATCACCGTTATCATCACATCATCATCAAACACGCCACTGTTATCGTAATCGCCATCGTCATCACTATTACGGCCGTTATCATCACCATCATCGTCATCGTTCCCCGCCCATTCTTGCACTCCCCCACACGGTTCGTGGCCCCATAGGGAGATACACCGAAGGCCCCAGTGCCAGGGTCCGCATGCAGTTCCACCCTCCTCTCGGCGCACCCCTCTCACGGTTCGTGGCCCCATAGGGAGCTCCACCGAAGGCCCCATCGGCAGGGCTCGCATGCATTCCACCCTCACTTCGGCGCACCCCTCACACGGTTCGTGGCCCCATACAGTGGCTCCATCAAAGACCCCAGTGGCAGTGTTCGCATGCAGTTCCATTATCATCTCGGCGCACCCCTCACACGGCTCGTGGCCCCATAGGGAGCTCAATCGAAGGCCCCAGTGGCAGGGTTCGCATGCAGCTCCACTCTCATCTCGGCGCACTCCTCTCGCGGTTCGTGGCCCCATAGGGAGTTCCACCGAAGGCCCCAGCGGCAGGGTTCGCATGCAGTTCCGCCTTCATAACGGTGCCCCTCTCACACGGTTCGTGGCCCCATAGGGAGCTCCACCCAAGGCCACATTGGCTTTCGCATGCAGTTTCAATTTCATTTCGGCGTACCTCTCACACGGTCCGTCGCCCCATGGGGAGCTCTACCGAATGCTTCAGTCGCAGGTTTCGCATGCAGTTTCAATTTCATTTCGGCGCACCCCTCTCACGGTTCGTGGCCCCATAGGGAGCTCCACCGAAGACCTCATCGGCAGGGCTCGCATGCATTTCCACCCTCACTTCGGCGCACCCCTCTCACGGTTCGTGGCCCCATAAAGTGGCTCCATCGAAGACCCCAGTGGCAGGCTTCGCATGCAGTTCCATTATCATCTCGGCGCACCCATCACACGGTTCGTGGCCCCATAGGGAGTTCCACCCAAGGCCCCAGCGGCAGGCAGCTCCGCCCCCATGTCGGTGCCCCTCTCACACGGTTCGTGGCCCCATGGGGAACCCCACCGAAGGCCCCAGTGGCAGGGTTCTCATTTCGGCGCACCCCTCACACCGTTCGTGGCCCCTAGGGAGCTCCACCGAATGCCTCAGTCGCAGGGTTCGCATGCAGTTCCACCCTCATCTCGGTGCACCCCTCACATGGTTCGTGGCCCCATTCGGAGCGGTCTTCGCAGCTGTATATTGTTGGATTCTTCGCCAGGCTTTTTTTGTTTCTTATATATATATATACACATCTCTCTCTCTCTCGCTCTCGATATTTCTGTCAGTCTTTGGCTCTCTCTCTGGCTCTGCCTTTCTGTCTTTGTCTGTCTGCCCGTCTCTCTCTCCTTCTCACTCTCTCTCTCTCTCTCTTTCTCCGTCCGTGAGCTCTGCGTCCCCTCTCCCTCCCTCCCTCCCCTCCCCTGCCCACCATCCCCTCCCTCTTCCCTCTCTCGCTCCCCCCTCCTCCCGTCCACCCCCTCCTCCCCTCCCTCCATTTCCTCCTCCCCCCCCTCCCTCCCCTCCCCTCCCCTCCCCTCCCTCCCCGCTCTCTCTCTCTCTCTCTCTTTCTCTCTCCCTCTCTCTCTGCTCCAGGTCGGCCTGTGCGCGCGGGCGGCGCCCGCCAGGCGTGTCCGCGAGGGCGATGAAGAAGCTGGGCGCCCCGGCCTCGGCGAAATCGGGGTGGTGGGGGGGGGGGGGGCGGCGGAGGCGGAGAGTAGACGAGGGGATGATGATGATGATGATGATGATGATGATGATGATGATGATGATGATGATGATGATGATGATGATGATGATGATGATGATGATGATGATGATGCTGATGATGCTGATGATGGTGATGACGATGAGGAGGATGCTGGCGCTGATGATGATGAGGCTGATGATAAGGACGATGAGGCTGATGATGCTGATGACGAAGATGATGATGGGGATACTTACGATGAGCATGATTATGATGATGATGACGCTGATGCTGATGCTGCTGCTGCTGCTGATGATAATGATGGTGCTGATGATGCTGATGATGCTGATTGATGATGATGCTGACGATGCTGATGATGATGCTGATGATGACGATGATGATGATGGTGTTGCTACTGACGATGATTATGCTGTTGCTGTTGATGCTAATGATAGCGATCATGATGATGATGGTTACGCTGCTGGTGGTGATGATGATGACGATGACGACGACGGTGATGGTGATGATGACGATTCTGATGATGATGCTGATGACGATGCTGATGAATCTGATTATGATGATGTTGATGCTGATGCTGATGATGATGTTGATGGTGATGATGATGCTGATGATGGCGATGATGATTATGATGATGATGGTGACGATGATGATGCTGCTACCGGTGATGATGATAATGACGGTGCTGATGATGATAATGGTGATGATGCTGATGATGGTGATGATGATGATTTGTAAAGACGATGCTGGCGATGAAAATAATGCTGATGGTGATGCTGCTGATGATGCTGAGGATGATGATGCTGACGCTGCTGGTGGTGATGATGCTGAGGCAGATGACGATGATCATGCTGCTGATGATGACGACGATGTGGAGGATGCTGGTAATGATGACGATGATGAAGCTGGTGATAATGATTACTCTGAGGATGATGGTGATAGGGATACTGACGATGAGCATGATTATGGTGATGATGATGATTCAGATGCTGATGCTGATGAAGGTGCTGATGACGCTGATGATGATGCTGATTGAAGATGCTGCTGCTGCTGATGCTGCTGCTGCTGATGATGATGATGATGATGATGATGATAATGATGGTGCTGCTGCTGACGATGAATATGCTGTCGTTGTTGATGCCAATGACAGCGATAAAGATGATGGTGATGCTGATGTTGGTGGTGATGAGGATGATAATGACGATGATGCTGATAATGATGATTATGACGATAATGGTAATGATGATGCAGATGACTACGATATTGATCATGATGATTATGATGATGCTGATGCTGATGACGATGATGGCGATGACGACGATGATGATGATGATGATGATGATGATGATGATGATGATGATGATGATGATGATGATGATGATGGTGATGATGATGATGACGGCGCTGGTGCTGATGATGATGCTGATGAAGATGCTGATTAGGGTTGTGGTGGCGGTGGTGGTAGTGATGTGTAATATTAAAAGATGGTCAACGCGACGCATGCAAATCATACGAACACGAATCATACTGATGATAGTCATGAGTGCGTTAGTACGTTTTCTGCCCTGTTAGCCATCATGGCTCCCCATCAGTAAAATCTTGCACTGTGGTGGTGTGCGATGTGTTGTTCAAACCATGTGGTGTACGCTGTGCCGTGTAAGAGTTGCGGTGTGAGAGACGTGGCGCAAGCTATGTTGTATACATTGTGTGGCGCAAGCGGGGAACACGCTGCAGGGAGCGAGAGCCAAAACGCTGGCGCATCGCCCTAGCCTGGCCATCCTTTCTGCTGTTGCCGTCCACGCCGGGTGCGCGCGCGTGACTGTAGGCCGGCCTGCAGTGGTGCGCGCCGAGCCTTGCAGGGTCGAAGCTGTCGACGCCAGGGCGGAAGCGCGGCGGCCTGCCGCGCGCCGGCCGCGCGCTGGAACGGCCTGCGACGACGGCGACGACGAGGATGGCGACGACAGGCGCTGACGACCTTGAGAGCAGACGTCGCGAACAAGTTGCAACATCGCGAAATCACGACCAGACCGTTGGACCCCACCTTTGAGCGGCGTTTTTCCGGCCAGATTGATCCGTGAGGACCCCTGGGCCGGATTCCCCGCGAAAGCGCCCGTGGCGTACACATTGCAACGCTCAGATCTGGGGGCCAGGTGCTGACGAGCAGGTTCCATCCTTCGGGCCCTCCCTGCCCCGGGGCCCGGGCGGCCTTTGTCGGCCAGCCCGGATCTCTGACACCGTGGCTTTCTTCACAGCGCTGACCTCCGGAGATCTGGACACACTCCCTGGGACAGGATCTTCGCCCCGGCTGGTTTCTTGACGGCCTCGGGGCCTGGCGAGGGCCCCCCGGGGCCCAAAACGGCAAGCAGAGGCCCCTCGTGCTCGCTCGCTGCGGGAAAGAGGTGAGGCTTGGCCTGGGCTGTGCCCGTCGGCTGCTTTGTGACTCGCGCTGCCCCAGGCATCTCCGTGAAGGACGCGCGGAAGGCCACCGAGGAGCTGCTCGGCCGCGGCAGCGGGAAGGTCGCGGCCCCCCCCCCCGCGGAATCGGCTGCGCCGTCCGTCGCCGCGGCCAGGGGATGGCAGGGAGCCGTGCCCAGGGAGCGGCGGGGAGAGCCATGAGATCCGGGCGTCGTCTGTTGTTTTGCACACCAGGCGTTTTCGCCCAGGTTCGGGCCCCAGGGCCCTCACGGATTAATACCTCTCGACAAGTGCGGCAGAAAGCTGAGGTCTGGGGCGCCCGAGGAGCACAAACCGATGTGAGCAGAAACTTTCGGGAAGTCCGCGCGGGCTTCTTGGATGTGCGCCGGGATGCCCCTGGCGGTGCTTCCCCGGCGCCGCCCGTGGCGCGGCGTGCCGCGCGCAAGGCAGAGTGATGTACACGCCGGTCGTTGAAAGTAGGTATTTTTGGATCCCCAGATCCCAATCTACTTCAAGCGCCTTCCTACTTCAAGAATCGACATGCTTTTGCTGTGTTTTGTTATTCTCTGGGAGGACCTGGACCCAATCTACTATATCCGCCTTCCTACTTCATGTTTCTACCTACTTCTTCCGACCGACGTGTAGTGTTTTTTTTTTGGGGGGGGGGGGGAAACAAAAGAGAAAAACGTACTTGCAAGCGGAGAGGCGGGGAGAGTATTCTGGATGGGACACTGGACGCCCCACCCTCGGATCCGCGGGGAGGGGGCGTTGGTCACATGCTGTCGGAACGAGTGGAGGGGTGGGTGGTTGGAGGAAGCGGAGGAGGAGGAGGAGGAGGAGGAGGAGGAGGAGGAGGAGGAGGAGGAGGAGGAGGAGGAGGGGCGTGGGGAGGGGGATGGGCAAGCTCTGTCGGAAGGTCCCCCCCGATAAATACCCCATCCAGAGTACACGATCCACAAATTGAGAGTCTGTTTTTCATGTCGAGTTCGGGGGCACTGCGAGTACATGCGCGGTATTTCGATCGTGTCCGCATTGTATACATGCGTACCCACATTTTTGGTACCTGTGAGTCTTCATGGAGTGCTCGACGCTTGATGCCCGTGTTTCGACTGCCACAACTGCTTCCGTCGTCGACGACGTCTTGGCTAACGCCCTCCGTCATCTGAACCCCTGTGCCCCTTGCCGTAGACCTGCCAGACTCCCTGTGCCGTCTCCGCGTCGCCCCGCGTGCGCTGGCCGCTGTCCACTCCCTTCGCCTTCTCGCTTTCGTCGACCTCGTCGAGGTCGCCGTCGTTGGCCCCCGCCGCTCCTCGCCCTGGCGCCCGCCGTCGCCGCCACAGTGCGCGGGACATGCTGCCGCCACTGCCTCGCCTCGCCGTGCCTCGCCCCGCCTCGCCCTCTCGAGCCTGCCGCTTCTTCCGGGCGGCTCCCTCCGGGCCATGTCCTCTCGAGGCCATCTCTGCCGGGCGACTTCTTCTGCGGAAGAGTTTCTCCGGGCGCGCTCTTCCGAGGGCGTCTTCCTCCGAGGCGGCTTCTTCCGGGCGCCCCCTCTTCCGGGCGGCTTCTTCCGGGCGGCTTCTGCCGATGGCGAGTTCTTCCGATGCGACTTCTGACGGGTAAGTTTTCCCGTCGTACTTCTGCCGAAGTGTCTTTCTGGTGAGTGTCTGCTAATGAGAGTTCGTCGGACCGTTTTTGCGACGGAATATGTCTTATGATTCTACTCTGGGCAACTCTTCTGGGTGACTTCTTCCAGAAGACTCATTTCGAGGCGACTTATTCCTGGCGAGGTCGTCTGGACAACTTCTTCACGGTGAGATCTTCTGGGCGATTTCTTCCGAGGCGAGTTGCTCAGGGCGATTTTTTTTGGGCACCGTCTTCCGAGTGTTTTTTTCCAGGCGATTTCGTCCGAGGCAAGTTCTTTTGGGCGAATTCTCATGGGGATTTCTTCCGGACGCCCGCGTCTGGCCGACGCCCTGGTGGTGAGTTCTAATGTTGTGACTTCGAGGGAGGGAGGGGGTTCCTTTCCTCGTCGTCGTCATCCTCCTTCTCCTCCTCGTCCTCCTCCTCCTCCCCTTCCTCCTCCTCCTCCTCCTCCTCCTCCTCCTCCTTCTCCTCCTCCTCCTCCTCCTCCTCCTCCTCCTCCTCCTCCTCCTCCAGGTGAGGGAGGTCACTTTCCTCGCGGTCGTCTTCCTCCGTGGGGGGGGGAGTCCGTGGCCATGGTAGCAAGGCGAAACCCGAAAACCAACCACGAAACCCGAACATCGAGAAGAAGCGAAACCTGAAAATCTTACCACGGGCGAAACCCGAAACGCCGACGAAACCCCAACTCGAAAAAACAGGAGGGGCGAAGCCCAACACTCCAGCTCAGACAAGCCCCGCCTGGCCTTCCCTCGTTCGTCCTTCCGCCCCATTTCCTTCCCCCCTTCCGCGTTCGTCCTCCACCTCTCTTCCTCGCTCCTCCCCGTCTTCGTCCTCCTTCCGATCCTCCCACATCCTCCTCCTTCTCCTCCTCCTCCATCTCCTCGCTTTTCCTCCCAGGCCCCCTATCCTCCTCTCCTCTCTCCTCTCTCGTCCCTCCTCCTCCTGCCTTTTGCCTCCTCTCCTTTATCCTCCCTCCTCTCTCCTGCCTCCTCCCTCCTCCCTCCCTCCTCTCACCTGCTCCTCCTGCTCCCTCCGCCCTCCCCCCTCCTGCCTCCCCCCTCCTCCCCCCCTCCCTCCTCGTTCCTCTCTCCTCTTCCTTCCTCCTTCGTCCCTCTACTCGGCACGCGGCAACGCCTGCGGGGCGGAAATGTAAACTATTTCACTATACTCGTCACGTGGCAAACGCCTGGGGGGGCGAACACATGTGCTACTCCACTCTCCTCGCGACGTGGCAACGCCTGCGGGACTGACACAATAGTATTCCGCGCGAATTGCCAGGCGGAAGCGACTGGGGAGCGAAACACAAATTGCTCCACTCCACGACTCGCCATGTGGAAATGCCTGCGCGGCGGAACACACTTTTTCCACTCTACTCGCCACGTGGCAACACCAGGGGAGCGACACAAGTACTGATCCACTCCCCGCCACGTGGCAGCGCTCGGAGGGAGGAGCACGTACTACAGTCAACCCGCATGATAGGGATGGGCAACCTTCCCAAGGGTACCCTTGCACCCTTGCCTTCTCGGCCCATCCTTGGCCGCTTTCGTTGGCCGCGGCCCGCTCGAAAAGCTCCGAAATGGGCGTCGGAGGCCCCTGCATCCTCACCGCGCATCCTCACTACACGGGTTGACTGTGCTCCACTGTGCTCGCCACGTGGCAGCGCCTGCGGGGCGACACTAGGGGGCCACGTGCGAACCCTACCCCTAACCCCCCACGATTTTTGAGGGGGTCGGGGGTGGGGTTCCCTTCGCTCGAGCGAAGTGAACCCCCCCCTCCCCCTCAGAAATCGTGGGGGGGGGGTAGGGGTAGGGCTCGCGTGTGGCCCCCTAGAAACATGCTCACTCCGCTCTACTCGGCGCGTGGCAGCGAAGCGGGGCGGCGACGGTTCTCTACTCCTCTCCACTCGCCACACGGCAACGCCACGCGGCAAGGCCTGAGAGGTACACGAGCATGCGATTCCACTCCACTCGCCGCGTGGCAATGCCGCGCGGACCGAACATATGCAATCCTTCTCTACTTGCCACGTGGCAGCGTCTGGGGGGGGGGGCGAAGCTATTCAACGACGGCGACGATGGCGATGCCGATGATGATGCTGATGCTGATGCTGTGAATGATGATGGTGATGATGATGGTGATGGTGATGGTGATGACGATGATGATGATGATGATGATGATGATGATGATGATGATGATGATGATGATGATGATGCTGAGGATGGTGGTAATGCCGATGCTGATGCTGATGACGATGCTGATGATTATAATGCTGCTGCGAATGATGACGATGATCACAATGATGATGCTGCTCTTGATGATGGTGATGCTGATCACGGCGATGATGATAAATATGATGATTATGACGATGATGATGGTGATGATGATGATGATGATGACGATTATGATGCTGGTGATGATGGTGATGGTGATGGTGACGGTCATGCTGATGATGCTGATGATTATGAAGCTGCTGATTCTCATTTTGGTGATGACGGTGGTGATGATGATGCGGATGCTGGTGCTGGTGCTGATGCTGATGCTGATGCGGATGATTATGATGATGCTGATGATGATAATGGTGATGCTGCTGCTGCTGCTGCTGCTGCTGCTGCTGCTGCTGCTGAGGAGGAGGAGGAGGAGGAGGAGGAGCAGGATGATGATGATGATGATGATGATGATGATGATGATGATGATGATGATGATGATGATGATGATGATGATGAGGATGACGCCGCCGTCGCCGAGGCCGCCGCCGCCCGCACGCCCGCCCGCCCGCCCGCGCCGGCTCGCGCGAGCCGCCGTCCTCGTCGTCCTCGTCGTCGTCGTCCTCGTCGTCGTCGTCGTCCTCGTCGTGGTCGTCGTCGTCCTCGTCGTCGTCGTCGTCGTCCTCGTCGTCGTTGTCGTCGTCGTCCTCGTCGTCGTTGTCCTCATCGTCGTCGTTGTCCTCATCGTCGTCGTTGTCCTCGTCGTCGTCGTCGTCGTCCTCGTCGTGGTGGTCGTCGTCTGCCCGCTCAAGAGGGGGGGGGGGGTCGTCGTGGCCGCCCGCGGGGCGCCGAGGAGGCGGGCCCGCAGGCCCTCCCATGGGGTGGTTGGCACTCGCCGCGGGGCGACCTGTCCCCCGGGCGGCTTCCTCAGGGCGACTTCGTCCGATAGGAGTTCTTCCGGGGCGACTTCGTCCAGGGCGACTTCTTCCAGGGCGGCTTCTTCCGGGCGACTTCTTCCGGGGCGGCGTCTTCGGGGGTGGTTTCTTCGGGGCGGCTCACGTCGTGCTCTCTTTCCCGTACATCATCCTTGAGAGAGCTTCTTCGACAAATGAACCCACACATGCATTCTGGGAACAGCTTCTGCCGCAGGCTAGTTCTTCCGAGGGTACTTTTTCCGTGCGACGTCTTCCGGCGGACTTTTTCCTGGCGATTTTTTCCGGAAACGACTTCTTCCGAAACAGTCATATTCCCGGGGACTTTTTCCAGGGGGCTTCTTCCAGGCAGTTTCTTCTAGAAAAAAGTTCTTCCTGAAGAAGTCGTCTCGGAGTCTCTGAAGAAGTAGGGGGCCAAATGCGAACCCTACCCCTACCCCCGCGGTTTCCGAGGGGGGGTGGAGTGGGGTTCATTTCGCTCGGGAGCTCCCGAACGAAGTGAACCCCACCCTCCCCCTCAGAAATCTTGGGGGGGTAGGGGTAGGGTTCGCATGTGGCCCCCTAAGAAGTCAATTCAGAAGAAGTCGTCGTCTTCCACTGCCCGCCACCGTCCCCTGGCCCCGTCCCCTCCGTGCTCTCCCCGCGCCTCGTCGCACGAACTTCCGCAGGCACGCGTGCACTTTTGAGCCGACCGAGGGTCTGAGGTGGCCAGTGGTTCAGGCCAGCAGGCAGGGGTGGCAGTTTCGAGGCGCCGGGGTCGAGAAGGTTTTTGTTGCCCTTTTCGGCCCTACTGGGGCCGTTTCGAGCTCCTGGGCCGTCAAAACGGGTCCGGGCCGAAAAGTCGCGCCAGATGAACCCCTGGGAGGGGGCTGGGGACCGATCTTGAGCGGATGTGCCTTCATCCTCCTTCTTGGCCGATTTCCTGGGGGCCCATGCAGCTCAGACCCCCTGGCCGCCTCCAGCATGCACTGGCGGCGCGGTCAGTGGCCGCCCCTGGCTCGAGAGCAGAAGCCGGCGATGTACTGGAGGGCCGGGCAGAGCGAACAGCGGCACCGCGCAGCTTCAGAGAGCTCGCTGGCCTCGCCGTGCCCGCGGTGAGGACCGCCTGCTTCGCGCGTCGCGCCGCCGGCACCTGGCCCACCGCGCTTTAAGTCACTAAGTCAAGACAGATGCCCAATCCCCAAAACGCGAGGGCCAAGACAAAATGCAGGCTCCTCGAGACTTCGGGGAGGGAGATTTTGGGGCCTAGGGTCTTACCAGGGCGACGACGACGAACGCAAAACATATCCCGAAATCTTGGGCCGATCTTCGAATCCTCGGTGAAGCCGCGATTTCGGGATTGGGGATGTGTTTTTTCGTGGCCATGAAGCGCGACACGCCGGCCACGTCCCGGTCCCCAATCAGGAGGGAAAGAAACACACAGACACAAACACTCGTCGATTCCCCAGACCATATGGGAAGATATGGGAGGTGTGGGGGGGGGGAAGACAACCACCCAGAAAGTATGGGGCAATATGGGGAATCTTTCTCTTTGTGTGTATTTATTTGTGTGTCCCAGGGCCCCTTCATTTAATCGGGCCGGGCGAAAGGGGGAGATTGGGAAAGGGGGGGTTACGAAATCTGCTGCATGCAGCTGGTTTCGGCCCCGCCGCCGGGCCCATTCCTCGATACATGGCCGCCCCCGGCGCCGGGAGGCGCCGGGAAAATCAGCTACGCGAGCTGATTCTCAAACCCCCCCTTTGCTATCCCCCCCTTTCGCCCGACCCGATTTAAGCGCGACACGCCGGCCACGTCCCAGTCCCCAAGGCGTCGGCGTCGCGAGCGCTGCCAAGCCTCCCGCCGGGCAGGAGCGGCGCGGCGCGCAGCTCCAGAGAGCTCGCTGGCCTCGCCGTGCCCGCGGTGAGGGCCGCCTGCTTCGCGCGTCGCGCCGCCGGCACCTGGCCCACCGCGCTGTCTTTAAGCGCGACGCGCCGGCCACGGCCCAGTCCCCAAGGCGTCGGCGTCGCGAGCGCTGCCAAGCCTGCCGCCAAGGCAGGAGCGGCGCGGCGCGCTCTCCGCCCGCGGGGCGCCGCGCGCCGCCGGGGCTCGCCCGCCGCGGCGAGCGGAGCCGCGGTCCCGGCCGGTGCCCTGCCCTGCGCCAGAGAGGCAGGGCGGAGTCGCCTGCCTTCTGCCCCTCCTCCTCTCCTCCTCCCCCTCCTCCTCCTCCTCCTCCTCCTCCTCCCCCTCCTCTCCTCCTCCCCTCCTCCTCCTCCTCCCCCTCCCCCTCCTCCTCCTCCTCCTCCCCCTCCTCCCCCTCCCCCTCCTCCTTTCCCTCCCTGGTAGTGCCCCTCCTCTCCACCTGGCGCGCTGCAGAAAGGGCCTCACCTTCGGGGGAGCCTGCAGAGTGGCGGCGGAAGTACAAAATTGGTGGCTCCGCGGGCGGAAGACCGGCGAGAGTAGAAGATGCGACCCTAAGAGATGGCGATATTTTTCGGGGTCAGTGTTTCTGGAACCCGCCATCCTTCCTGTCCTCATGTTTCCTTTATTTCCCTCCTCCTTTTCTTTACCATCCTATCATCCTCCCTCCTTCCTCCTTCTTCCAATTTTCTTCCTCGTCCTGCCTCTTTTTTTACTTAGTCCTTTTCCTCGTCCTTCCACCTCTCCTTCCCTCCTGGGGCTCTCTCCGTGCTTCCTGCTTCCTTCCCTATGCCGCCTGCGGCAGGCGGGCTGCCCTGGCCACCATTCCAGCGTTTGATCCGCCCTGCGAGGTCTCGTCCGACATTCCCTTCACGAAGGCAGCGAAACAGCGCCTGGCCAACAGCATCCAGGAGGCCAAGGACGGTTTCCGATGCTCCTGTGCCTCGTTTATATGTATGTACGTATGCATGTATGTATGTTTGTATGTATGTATGCATGCATGCATGCACGCATGTATGTATGTATGTATGTCTGTATGTAGGTAGGTAGGTAGGTAAGTAGGTAGGTAGGTAGATACGTCTATAGGTATGTATGTACCTATGTATGCATGCATGTATGTCTGTATGTCTGTATGTCTGTATGTCTGTATGCCTGTATGTCTGTATGTCCGTATGTATGTATGTCTGTATGTCTGTATGTCTGTATGTCTGTATGTCTGTATGTCTGTATGTCTGTCTGTCTGTCTGTCTGTCTGTCTGTGTGTATGTATGTATGTATGTATGTATGCATGCATGTATGTATGTATGTATGTATGCATGCATGCATGCATGTATGTATATATGTATGTATGTATGTACATGTGTATGTATATATGTATGTATGTACGCATGCATGTGTGTATGCATGTATGCATGCATGCATGCATGCATGCATGCATGTATGTATGTATGTATGTATGTATGTATGTATGTAGGTAGGTAGGTAGGTAGGTATGTATGTATGTATGTATGTATGTATGCATGCATGCATGCATGCATGCATGCATGCATGCATGCATGCATGTATGCATGTGCATGTATGCATGTATGCATGTATGCCTGTATGCCTGTATGCATGTATGCATGTATGCATGTATGCATGTATGCATGTATGCATGTATGCATGTATGCATGTATGCATGTATGTATGTATGTATGTATGTATGTATGTATGTATGTATGTATGTATGTATGTATGTATGTATGTATGTATATATACATATTGTAATGGCCTCCGGCCAGTGCCGCCGATCTGGGGGGCTCCTTCTTCGGTGATCTCGGAGTCGTCGGGGGCGCTGTTTGGGAGGGAGGGCGCTCTTGGAGTCGTCGGGGACGCTTTTTGTAGCTGACGTGCCCTCTGGGGGGGTGCCTGGAGCGGGTTCCAATGGGGAGGTTCCTGGGGGCGGTAGCGGCTAGATCTGAGGGGGGGGGTCTCTGGGACCCCCGAAACATCTTGGGGATGCGCAAATCATTCAGAAAACGCCAGATGGGGGACCGCCCCTCCCCCCCCCCTCCCCCTCTTTCCCGGGGGGGGCCGGGGAGGGTTCCGAGGGGACAGGCCGGGGGGGGGGTCCCTGGTACCCCCCGAAACGCTAGATGGGGGACCCCTCCCCCCCTCCAGGGAGGGGTAGGATGTCAGATATGACGCGAGCGCACCTAGCTTGCCCCCCCCCCCTTCCCTCCCTTCCCCGGCAGGGCCACCCGGCGACCACCCCCGAGCAGAGCTGAAGCTCTTGCTTAGGCTCAGAGCTGAAGCTCTTGCTGAGGCTCCTTGTAGTTCACACGCCGGATCGGCGGATATATATATATATATATATATATATATATATATATATATATATATGTGTGTTTGCTGTTTTTTGGCTATAGTTTGGTAGTTTCAGAATTCATACTTAACAACTTTAATTGATTTTCGCTTTCTCTCTCTCTCTCTCTCTTTCTGCCTCTCTTTTGTTGCGTTTGTTGCATGCACCGCCTGTTCAAAACCAACATGGCCACCTCAAGATATTCACCCGCACTGCTCTCGCGGCCAGGTCATTGGCACTTGCCCGTCTGATGATTCAGCGCCGCCAGCTCTGCTACTCAGATCTGCCAGCTTCACCCCCGAGCGTTGTGGAAGTCGATTGATGGAGAGGAAGCATGCTGCCAAAATGATTCCAGATGCCCAGAACATGTTTCAGGCATGTTTGAAATAGGTAACAGCATGTTTGACACGTTTTCAGAACATGCTTTACACATCTTGAACAAATCTTTAATTCAGTGATAGGACCGTTATCAGCGAGCGAAGAACGGTATAAAATGAACTTTTTCGCCGTCGGGGGCACCTGCCCCTGGGCGGCTGGAACGTTTATACCCCTGCGGTGCCACCGTAGGGGTATAAACTTTCCAGCCGCCCATGGGGCAGGCGCCCCCGACGGCGAAAGAGTTTATCTTATACCGTTCTTCGCCCGTTAACGTTAGCGTGTCCACTGCCGTGGCATCCGCATCCCCCAGAGCGGGCGGCTCGAGCAACCTCGGCGCGAGGGAGCTCCGGATTGCGAAGGCCTTACGGCCGGTGCCGCCGACCCTGAATGGCGACGACGACGACGACGACGAGCGCTCTTCGGGGCCTCTTGGGGGTAGTTTGTGGGCCTCTTGGGACGCTCTTAGGGGCCGCTTGGAAGCCTCGTGGAAGCCTCTTGGGGCTTCCTGGGGGTCTCTTGGAGGGGGCCTGCCGTGGCATCCGCATCCCCCAGAGCGGGCGGCTCGAGCCACCTCGGCGCGAGGGAGCTGCCGCGTCGCGCGGTCGCGTGCCCGTGCTGCCGCCCGCCCGCTCTGTCTTGCAAGCGCCCGGGCGCTTCGCGGCGCGAGGCCGCGCGCGCCCTGGGCGCGCGTGTCGGGAGGGGACGAGGCACACACAGAGACACAGTCCGTCTTCGATGCCCCCCCAGAATGTGGACAAGCATGGGATGTGGGGGGGGGAAGACGAAAAGCCAGGACATCTGGGGAACTATGGGGAATCCTGTTATACCTGTGAGTATTTCCCTGAGGGCTTGTCGACTTTTCGCCAGTCGACTTGTGCGAGTCGAGCCAGATAGATCCAGGTAAATGCAGATAAATCGACATAAATCCAGGTAAATCCAGGCAAATCGAGATACATCCGGATAAATCCAGATAAATCCAGAGAGATCTCCAGGGAAGTCGGAGCAACTCGCGGCCGCTCCAGCGCGAGTCGAAGGACGGCAGAAGTCGTTAAGCCTCTAACGAGTACTTCTTTGCGTGTCCTTGGGCCCCTTGGGTGTGGGGCTGTGGGGGCTGCAGGCCGCAGGGCCCCGAAGCGTGGGGCCGGCGCCGCCTCACGTGTGGCGACGGAGCGCGCCGGCCACGCTGCCGCCGTTCATGTTCGCGCTGCTGCACATTGTTCCAGCTCCTCCTCCTCCCCTCCTCCTCCCCCTCCTCCTCCTTCTCCTCCTCCTCCTCCTCCTCCTCCTCCTCCTCCTCCTCCTCCTCCTCCTCCTCCTCCTCCCCGCCTCGAGGAGAGCCCTTCGGGGGCCTCCGGAGTGCGCCCGCGGGCCATGCGCTCGTGCACGCGGCGCCGCCCTGGCGAGGAGCGCGCCACGGCGTCGCCCGCCCTCCCTGCCCGCGGGAGGTCCCCGCGGGGGCCTCCCGCGGGGCCTCCGAGGGCGTCCGGGGCTTCCGGGAGGCTCCCCCCCAAAGACCCACGGGGAGTCCAGGGAATTCCCTCCCGTCCTCGTCCCTCGTCCCTCGTCCCGTGTGTCTGCACTGCCTCTTCCCTCCTCTCCCGGGTGGCTCCTCCCTCGCCCTTCCGTCCTCCCCCCTGTCCCGCCCTCCTCCGTCCTCCCTCCTCCTACACATGGCTCATTTCTAATTATTCGACAATTCTTTGAATTTTTTTGGGCCAAGATCCTTTCATTTCTAATTCTTCTATCCTGGGCCTCTTCCTGGCCACTGGGGGGCCAGGAACAATTAGAAACGAGCACAATTAGAAACGAGCACGATTAGAAGTGAACGACGTGTACCCTTTTCCCTTGCCCCCCCGTCCCCCTCTCCTCCTGGAGCTTGGGGGATGGATGAGACCCCTTCTAGAGACACGCCAGCAGACGAAGAGGACTGGGTCCTTACAAATACGACGGCCACACATGCATCGGCGAGCAGAGAGTCTCGGACTGCCGAACAACACTGTTTTCAATTCATGGCAGTGCATTCGAGAACATCGCGCCTCTTCCACGTGACGTCGCCCTTGCTTGTTCTGCTCTTCTGCTATCTTACCTTGGTCGTATTTCTGGAGTTGGTGGTGGGCGTCAATCTTGCGAGCACACCTGCTCCCGCTAACACAAGGGTTATATTGTCTCGCCTCACACGTGCAGCTCTTCCCACTCCCTGTTGTGGGTGTTTTCGTCATGTCGTTTTGCCGCGGACAGTATCAGCGCATTCAGATCCCATCGTAAGTTACGTTCTTATCCCGCCAGAAGCTGGGTTCGACAACAGTGGACCCCGCGCACATCTTGATTGCGATGTTCAAAGAGAAGGACGACGGTCCGTTGGGCAGGGGCTGCAGGCTAGCAATGCCGTTGTATAGCGGGACGCTCAGAACCAAACCTGGCTGATTTCTATTTCTAGCAATTTCGGTGTTTTTTCGGAGCATGCGGCCCATCGCCCGTGGCCGCCTCGTGCGCTGTTTTTTTTGTTTTGTTTCTAGCCAGTTGCCTCCCGTGGCCGCCTCGCGGGCCTTCGATGAAAGGGGGACAGGCGCAACCCAATCCACTTGTAACTTGCGTTTGCTCTTCATCACTTGGCCTTTGCTGAATCGTCCTGCCCTGCTCGCTTATTTCCGCGTGCATGGAATGCTTACTCTGAGGAGGGATCTTCTGCCCTCTGCTTGGCAGCACAACGACACTTGTACAGACGCACGACGTTCACGTGGAGCATGCCGTGCAACCCAGGTGCATCGACCCATGCACGCGTTTATGCGCAACGCGGCTTCGTGAACCCCCGCGTGCGCGGTTGCACAGGCGTGAGCGAGTGGTCCAGCTGGCGTGAGCACGTGCACGTCCGTGTGAGAAGGACGCCGAGGCGCACAGGATTGGCAGCTTGTGTGCATGCGAGTATTCCCCCTCGTACTCGCAGGAGATACTGACAGACATATTGCCTGACAAGAAGCATATGCAGCGAGGTTCTGCATGGTGGCAGTTCGACGCAGGCGCGGCCACAAACGCGGATACACGCAGATATGTGCATATTGGTCAGGTTACACACCACGCGGCACAGACGAACGCAGACACAGACCACGATGCCAGACACCGACAAAGACATACAGGCAGGCGATGCCATGCACGGGCGGGTGGGATATTGCGAGCGCAGATAGATTCGACAGGGTGGCTCAACATTAGCAGGTCTGACTAAGCTGACCGAGCAGCTGGGCGTGGACCCTGCGAAGGTCCTGGAGGAGGTCACCAAGGATCTGCGTTCGTCCTCTGAAGCCACGCCTTCGCCTCAGTTCCTCCATTCTTTTCAACGCGGCATCTCACTATGTCTCTCTCTCTCTCTTTTTCTCCCTCTCCATCTCAATCTCTTCTTCGCCTTCATCGTTTCATTCATTTCCTCCTCCCCCTCCTCCTACTCTTGCTGTTCCTCTGTCTATCTCTCTTTCCCAGGATCGTCCTCTTCCTCTCTGTCCGCTTCGTCATTCCCCTCTTACTATTTACTCATGTTCTTCCGTTTCGGTCCTTTCGTTCGCTGTCCTCTTGTGGTCTGGCTTTTTGTCCTCACCTGTGTTGGTCGTCAGTGTGCAACTGCATACGCCATCAGTCTGACGCGTACTCCAGATCTCGTAATAAAAGGGAGGGGGTCTGGACCCTCCAAGACAAGCCATTTCAGACCCCCCCCCGTGGGAGAACCCTCCAAAACATCGTCCCCAGACCACCCCAGGCCCTCCAAGATAGCCTGGAAGAGACCCCCCCCCCCGAAATGAGACCCCCCTCCCTTTATTACGAAATCTGGAGTACGCCATCAGTCTGACGCGTATACGGGGTCAGACCCCCCCTCCGTTTATCGCAACTTGGCTGCGCCTCCTCTGGGCCCCGCAGGGTGCGGCCTTGGGCAGCCTCGAGCCAGACCTCGTCCCTCCCGAGGGATGCCACGGCGTGACCACTGGCATCACTTTGCTGCGCCCCTGGGGGGTTCAGCTTCCGAGGCTGGGATTTATCCAGAGCCACCGCCTGGGGGATCGATCTTCGGGGACCTCGGCCGGCGATGGATAAGGACATGTTCCCCCCCCACCCCCAGGGCCCGAATATGTCTACGTTCGTATCCATCGCCTGCCGAGGTCCCCGAAGATATCCAGAGCGGTGGATGTGGATGTCTTCCCGCCACTGAGGGCGGTCCCCACGTATCCATAGCCGAATTCCTGCAGCTGTGGACGGATGTCTTCTGGCGGCGCACACTCAGCTGCGCCCCTGGGAAGTTTGGAGGGCTGGCGCCGCTCGTGGATCCACGCAGCGCCTCGCCCTCCCCTACCCCCTCTCGTTGCGAAACGGTCACGGCTGGATGGTTTTTACGGTTTTCGGCCCCTGGGGGCCTCACCGGCCCCGGGGCCGCCGAGAAACAATTCGGGATGCAGGACTGGTCCTGGTGAAGAAGGAGGAGGAGGAGGACGAGGAGGAGGAGGAGGAGGAGGAGGAGGAGAACTAGGAGGAGGAGGAGGAGGAGGAGGAGGAGGAGGAGGAGGAGGAGGAGGAGGAGGAGGAGGGAGGAGGAGGAGGAGGAGGAGGAGGAGGAGGAGGAGAACGAGGAGGAGAAGGAGGAAAACGAGGAGGAGGGAGGAGGAGGGAGGAGTAGGGAGGGAGGGAGGGAGGGTGCCAGGCTTCCAGGGGTCGACGTTGGGAAGCAGGCGCGACGTCGGAGATCTGGGGAGGTGGCGCCGCTTGCGGATCCGAGCAGAGCCTCGCCCTCCCCGGGCGCCGCCAGGCGTGCAGTCCTCTTAGGGGAGAAGAGGTACCGATGCCGCCGCTCGCCCTGGAGTGTCCGCGTCGCCTCGGCTGGGCTCTCCTCGAGAGTCTGGTCGGAGTGCACCCCGGGAGAGGTCCAGGGAGTAACGGTATCAACATCCGAGCTGCACGCACACATGTATATATGTATGTATGTGTGTATGTGTGTATTTTCTGTCTGTATGTATGTATGCATGCATACATGCATGCATGCATGCATGCATGCATGTATGTATGTACATACGTATGTATGTATGCATGTATGTATGCATGTATGTATAAATACATGCATGCATGCATGCATGCATGCATGTATGTATGTATGTATGTATGTATGCATGTATGTATGTATGTATGTACGTAGGTAGGTAGGTATGTAGGTAGGTAGGTATGCATGTATATATTTACATGTATGTATGTATGTATGCATGCATGCATGCATGTATGTATGTATGCATGTCGGCATGTATGTATGCATGCATGCATGTACGTATGTATGCATGCATCTATATATATATATGTACGTATGTACGTATATATGTATGTATGTATGTATGTATGCATGTATATATATATATATATATATATGCATGCATGTATGCATGCATGCATGTATGTATGCCTGTATGTATGTATATGTGTATGTATACAGGTGTGTACGTTTGTATGCATGTATGCATTGATGCATGCACTTATGTATGTATGTATGCATGTATGCATGCATGTATGTATGTTTGTATGTATGTATATATGCTGGCATGCATGTATGTATGTATGTATGTAGGTAGGTATGTATGTATATATATATATATATATATATATATATATGTATGTATATATTCTGGTATGTATGTATGTATGCATGTATGCATGCATGCATGTATGTATGTATGTATGTATGTATGTACGTACGTATGTATGTATGTATGTATGTATGTATGTATGTATGTATATGCATATGTATGTATATAAGTATATATGTAGGCACGTATGTATACATACATGTATGCATGCATGCATCCATGTATGTATGTATGTATGTATATATGTATGTATATATGTATGTATGCATGCATGCATGCATGCATGCATGCATGTGAATACATAGGTATATCGAGTTTTTCCTAACCCTCTTCTTTCGGGTTCTCGTTTTGAATAGAGCACTGCGGTCTTCACTTTCCACTTTTCGCCTTCCTCCTCCTCTCCTCTTCTACCTGCCTGCTACCCTGCCTCCTACCTCGCTGTCCTGCCTGGGCGCTCTATGGCGGGCTGTGATCTGCGAAGCTGTCGCCACTAACGAGGGTTGCTCGGGGATTCAGCTGAGTGACGTCCTACGGGGGTTCAGATTCGACCTCCTCATCCCTGGGGGTCTGCGAACTGCGAAGCTGTCGCCACTTTCGAGGGCTGCTGGGGGGTCCAGCGCAGTGACGTCCTACGCAGACACATATTAGACCTCACCATCCCTGGGGCCTGCAACCTGCGAAACTGTAGCCACTTTCGAGAGTTGCTGGGGTCCAGTATAGTGACGTCCTACGCTGATTCAGATTAGACCTCCGCATCCCTGGGGGCTGCGAGCTGCGAAACTGTCACCACTTTCGAGGGCTGGTGGGGGTCCACGTCCTACGCAGATTCAGGTTCGACCTCACCATCTTCGGGGGGCTGCGAACTGCGAAACTGTCGTCACTTTCGAGGGCTGCTGGGGTGGTCCAGCATAGTGACATTCTACGAACGCGCAGATTCGACCTCACCATCCTTGGGGGGCTGCGAGTTCCGAAACTGTCGCCAGGTTCGAGCGCCGCTGGGGGGTCCAGCACAGTGACGTCCTACGCTGCTTCAGATTAGACCTCACCGTCTCTGGGGGGCTGCGAACTGCAAAACCTTCGACATTCTCGAGGGAGTTTGATTCCCGGATAGCTCCTTGGAGTGCATAGAGGGTTGCAGATAAGAAACTGGCAGATTGGGCTACGCCGGCTCTCCAGAGCTCCCGGTCAGGCAGCGTCGCAGCGGCCTGCTTGAACTCGCAGCGTGTCCCGAGAAGCGTTTTCCTACTCGTTCCCAATACGCGTGCCAGAAGCCTTCCGCAGCTCCTTCGCAGCTTCCTCGAAGCCCTCTCCAAGCTCGCTTTCCAAGCTGTCCAGGCTCCCCAGGCATGCTTTCCAGCGCCCTGGCAAGCATCTCCCACATACGTTTTCCCCGGATAGCTCCTTGGAGAGCTAAGAGGGTTTCAGATTAGAAGCCGGCAGCGCAGGGTAGGCCAGCTCCTCTCCAAGGCTCCCGGTCAGGCATCCCCGCAGCGACCTGCTAGAGCCGGCAGCGTGTCCCTAGAAACTTTTCCTTACTCGTTCCCAATGCGCGTGTCTGGAACCTTTCCGCAGGTCCTTCGAAGCTCTGTCGAAACTCCGTCGAAGCTCGCTTTTCGAAGCCTGCAAGCTCCCCAGGTATGCTTTCCAGCGCCCTGGCAAGCGTCTTCTACATTTTTTTTTTTTTTTTTTTTTTTGTTTGTTTTCTCTCTCTCTCTCTCTCTTTCTTTCTCTCTCTCTCTCTCTCTCTCTCCAAGCTTACAAGCTCCCCAGGCATGTTTCGCAGCGCCGTTGCCAGCGCCCCCCGTAAGCGTTTAACGCGCTTTAGACTGCGTCGCTCTGGGTTTTGGATTGCACAAGTTTCCATTCCCGTGGGCCGCCCGAAGACCTGGCGGCGCGCTTGCGGGTGTTCAGTTCCCGCATTGAAAGGTGCAGGAAGGAAGCGGAGAAACTCGCGGGCGATCTCGGCTTCGCTCGCTTCTTGCGCCAGCTTTGAACAGTTGATCCTTCCTTTGGAGCGCCAGAGCATCATGGCGCGGGCCATGCTGCTTGTCCAGCGTGCCATTATGAATTATTCGCCACCATCCTTCCTCATCCTTCCTCTTTCGTTGTCGTCCTCTTCCTCTTTCCACCGTCTCACTACTGCTGTCGCGTTAACTCCTCGTTCAGTCCTTCTCCTGCCCCTCTTCCGTCCTTTTCCTGCCCCTCCTTCCCGCCCACAGTTCCTCTTCGAGCTTGGGGCCTCAGTCGTCGTCCTTCCGTTGTTGTCTTGTGAGTCGTGGAACGCGCGCGCTTCCCATATAGGTTGCGCAACGAATGACCGATCCTCATGAGCCGTAGTATTGTGGACCATCTCCACTTGTCACTGGGTTGAGTACATCGCAGGGTACCATTCAACACGCGGCCCCACGACGAAACTCTGACCATGGCCCCTGGGCCAGCTTCTTATCCCAAACTGCTTTTTGACAGGCCCGGGGCCCGGCGAAGGCCCCCTGGGGGCCGAAAGCCGCGACGCACGTCCGGATTCATTTGCCTCATTCTTTGGAGAGAAAGAAAGAAAAATGAGGCAAATGAATCCGGACGTGTGTCGCGTTTTTCGGCCAGTGCTTGAGAGGAAAAAAAAAATTGCCTCATTCTTTGGAGGCCTGGGGTATCGGTGCCTTCTTCGCCCC